TGGTCTCAGGTTTGATCCCAGCGAGGAAGGCTTACTGCCAGCCAACTTCCGGGTCAATTTGGCGTAGTGTAGGCCACAGGCGTTGCAAAGCGTCCGCGCGCCGTCCGGCCCGCGTCTCCATTCCGGGGTTTCCGCTCGGTTGCAGCTGTGGCAACGACCTGGTGGGGCAGCTTTCTAGAGAGTAAAAGGAAACCATTAGAACTGTTGTTCCATTCTGATAAGATATGGATTTAAAGGTGGGCGGTGGAGAGTCGTAAGAGAGAGTTCACGTACCCCTCGTCGCTTTTTGGAATCGCCGCCCGCAAAACCGCCTCCACCACCTTTGAAACCTTCACGGTACACGGCCGCTTGGTCATCATTGTACGGCCCACGCCGTTGGTAAACTGTTGTCTGTGCTCGTTGTTCTGCCTGTTGCTCAGCCAGCGTTTGTTCAACGACGTAACATCGAATTTTGTCCAAGGCTTCCGCCGACTTTCGGATAATCTGTGCAAGCTCATCGATCTCTGAGAGCTGGGGCATCGATCCTGCTGCAGGCACAGATCGATTATTTTGGTGAGCTTTAGCACTGAAATGGCGGGCAAACTCTATTGCTGCGCTGCTCCGTTCGATAATCTGCTAGAGTTAGCGAGCGGTGTGCGGAAACGAAGGATAGCTATCTAAGACACGTACCTCGTTAAAGACGACTTCAACATCATAACCTTCAAGATGCCGTTTCCCAGAGTCCAAGTGGGAACCAGGACCAGCACTGGATCGAGTGCTTTGCACATCCTCCATTCGTGCCGGATCAATAGCGTGCTGTTTCCAGGAAGCCCGCATGTCGTAAGATCCAGATGAGTATGGCAATGAGGATGAACCATTGAGAAACTGTGAACCATATGGAGCTGTTGGAGGATACGGCGTCGTATAATTAGTCGGAGAGGACATTGGACCTGCAGAAGACGCCCCAACAAGCTCATAGACGGAAGACTGGGAGTTTGACAGTGATGGAGCCCCGTCTTTGGAGCTCCTGAGTGGGAGACTTGCCGGAGCTCAGCGACAAGATTGATGGATTGCGAGATTCGTGGGAGTGAATTGAAGCTAGGCTCGATGGAGATGCCTCGGTCTGAGTTTGTCCACGCTGAAGTGTCTGGTGTGCGGCGAAAGGATTATCCCGTAAGAAGGATCCAGGGCCACTTGAAAATGGATTGGAGGGCCCAGAAGGTCCGTCCAGAGCTGGACGCGCGATGCTTGGCGATATGGACGTGGGTAGTGTCCCCGGTTTGGCTGAGGAAGAAGCGGAAGGCAAGCCAAAGGGGGCAGAGCCTAACGCTTCATGTATTGAGGGAAGGGATTGTCGCTGGGGAATATACAGAGGTTGGTTGTGCGGCCTCTGGTCCTTCTCTTCTCCAGGACGTCTCGTATCAGCAGAGGCCCTGCCGACGGCCCTGCCGCTATTTTCCAAGTCTAAATGTGCAATTGACGGCAGCAACTCTCTAGACGCATTTCCAATATGATAGTTGTCCCGTGGCTCCCTGATACTTTCAACATCCTGTCCCGATGATTGGTGCGGGTTCGCCAGCGGACTTGAAACCCTATGGTCGGACCAATCCCTGGCAGACTCCACTGTCCCCATGTCGCCTGTAGTTCTTTTATTTTGGCACACTTCCACCAGAGAGCAACAACCGGTAAACCAAGTTCCCGTCCAAAAAAAATAAAATAAAATAAAATAAAATAAGTATCTTCTTCCCAGAAGGATGACTGCAAAGCTTCACTTTCTCAATCTCCGGATGCCGTCTCGGACCACTGCGGCGAGCCGTTCCCGTTCAATTGCCTCCAAAAATCAGGATGGTATCCAACAAATAGAAAGACCAGCCTCCTAGGTCTTCCAGGCCACCTTTGGAAACACCTCTTGATGAAGCAATGATGAAGCAATCGCAAACAATCCCTTTCAGCATCAAAATCTTAAAAAGGATATTTTTCCTATTTCCGCCCCTGCAGAAAGGAAGATTCTAGGTCGAATAAGACAGATATAGAAAGAACAAAGAGGAAAAGAAGGTTGAGTTAAGTGGTGAGAGGATGCTATAGAAATATGTTGCCAGTCCTGAAGAGTGGGCAATCGGTGGGTTTAAAGACGGTTTGAGATCTTAGGGTAATCTAAGATTCGCTGGCCGATATGGGTAGTGTGGGAGACGTTCCTCAGTATCCTCAAAAAGGAGTTCACAGACAGCGAAGAGATGAAAATTGCAAAACCGATTTGCGGGCTAAGAAGAAGAGAGAGCGCGGATCGATATCAGATCAAGACCAGACCATCAAATACGTGCAACAACATTCCCTTCTGTGCCCCTGTCCCGTTCAACGAGACCTGATAATTAAATAAGCCTGACCGCCTATATACTCTTTCAAACCCCCGGCTGGAAATCTACCAGAGCAGCAACACGACGTATTTACCAACTAGTCGGACCGAGAAGTCGTGATGAGGAACGGGGCAAGGCGGGGAGGAGGGAGAGAGGGGTGGGAAGAGGGGAAGCGGATAAATGGTATGGGTCTCTGGATACACACAGAGCGGCGACAAAAGGAGTGGAAGAAGTATGAGATTTTGATGGACTCGACTCCACACACAAGGAATGAGACGTTGTTCAATTAAGGCGGAGAAACGATAGGGATGTAAAGATAAATCAAGGCAAAGGGACACCCACACACCCGAACGAACAACTGAGCGATGGAGCAAGGGAGGAAGGGGAGGAGAGACTCTTTTTTTGTCTGTCAGGAGAGAGAGGTCAGGGGGAAGTTAAAGGGCGGGGAGGAGGGGTGTGTGAGTGTGTTTAAGGGGGGGGGTGTGGGAGGACGGGGGAATAAAAAGAAGTCGGAGCAGCGTTGAACTCTGGATGGAGAGGAGGAGGGTGGACCAGCAGATCTGGCAGCAGGGTGCGTGTGGTACCTTGTTATCTGGCTGGGAGCTGGGAGCTGGGAGCTGGGAGCTGGGAGCTGGGTACGGGAGGTGTGTATACGGGGTACCGCCGTATTGGCCATACCGTACTGGGTATGGCATGATGATGATGCACTGGAGCCCCGTATGGATGTGTAATAATGGGTGGTAATATACACCCAGTGTAATCCCACCCACCAAATCCCCTCCCCCAGTATTGTATGTACACGCAAACCAAGCCCCAGAGTGCCGCCGTCCTGTCCACGTAAGAAAAACACTCATCCATCAAGTATGGATACTCGCTGGTAATGAGGTCATCCGAGGCAACGACTGATTCGGCGCTCGATGTCTAGCTCCCCTCTGAAGTTTTGGCCTTGATAACCTAAATTTGCGAGTCGGTGGGTAAGAACAGAGAAGCATATCTATCAACTTAACCAGAGTATTTTGTGGTGGATCTTTTCTCTCTCGGTCTCTCTCTCTCGCGCGCGCGCGCGTTACCCACAACAGCTTACCGGGACACTGAAATTGTACGCTTATTTTATTTTTACTTTGTTTTACTTATTTGTTTGTTTATTTTATATATTTTTGGTGCCTTTGGGTGTAGTTAACTACCAGGGGATTTTATAGTTTGAAACATGGAAAAATACATATGTTTGTGTGGGAATGGAAATCAATGTTGTATCGATGATGAAAAACCCGTCCTGGGAATCAAAAGACAGCCCTATATCAAAAGAAAAAACGCAATAAAATTAACAAGGGTCCGAATACACAAAAAAGCAAATCCTGGGTCGAGTCATTAGCGAAGTTCGCTACCAAAGTATAGTCCCATGTTCCTACCGAGTCGTTTATTAAGGAAGATGCACCGTTATAGTTTTCGTCTGCTTGAATTCTACGGGTCCTCAGCTTCAGAATGACACTTAAAACCGAACCCAACCATAAAATCGCTGAACGAATCGCAGCAAGAAGTCATGGTGCATACATAAAATTACTACTTTTACTACTACTACTACTACAACTACTACAACAACTACAACAACTACAACTACTTACTGCTACTGCGACTGCTACTACGACTGCGACTGCGACTGCGACTGCTACTGCTACTGCTACTACCACCTTTTGAAGTTAGGTGCAGCTCGTTTTCTTGTTCTGCCTTGAAAATCGGTTGACCCTCCAACCGAACCAGTGCAGGTTGCTGCTCGGGCGAATCTAATAGAATGGGGATAGCTTATTGGGGGTCCGCCCTTGTCAATCCAATGGGTGTGGTCAGTTAGCTGTGCAGCCTGCTCCGGTGTTGGCTGCTTGGAAGGTAGAGAGGTTGGGAGACAGGGATCTCGTGAAGCGAAGGCGCCTTGACAGAGTTGAACATCGAATCATCGCTTTGGAAGAGGTCGTGCAGATACCATGGTCGAATAATCGATCCCGGCGTGGAGATCGATAGATCGTATGCCATGCCTCTTACGGAAAAGCGAGGTGTCTCGGACAGCACAAGGGAGCGAGGAGGTGCTGTTGATGGCAACATGCCATTTCCAGATCCCAGCGCCCAAGCCTGTAGGAAAGTGGCTTTGAACAAGCTTGGATGATATCTCTTATCAACAGTAAGCATAAACAATGCTTGGAAGATTATTGCGCTGTAATTCCCATTATCAGTCCTGGTTCTTTTTATTCCCATAGAAAGTCCCAACATTCTATTCTGGAAACGAATCATTGGATGATTCAGGTCAACAACATACCGTAGATCGACAGAATTCACATGTATCAAGATGACACATATTTCTATAGTTAGCACACAGTACGGAAGTATCCTACGAAAAATACGAATACCGGTATTGACAACTGCCGTACAGAGAGTAATGTAGCACCATTTTCAACGGCTGCACAGCAAGGATGAGCGGTGATGGCGGAAGACACTAAAACATATCAAAGATTTGGCGGCCAGTTCACAAGACCAGAAAACTTGGCCAGGATTGCAAGGTGCCGCCGCATCAAGTGGCATAAACCGTTCGCCAGGGGGTTCCCGGTCTCAACAGGTAGGGGTCCCTTCGGAGTTTCTGGAAGAAAAGCTTGGAACAGGGTCTTGGCTGACCAGGTATGTGCCCATGATTTCATTTAAAGTCGATTTGATTTCCCACTTTGTTACCGGTGATAGAAGAAATATCCGAAACCAGGGCTCTACCAAAGAATAGATAGCTCTGGTTGAAGCGAGAGTTGATGTTCTCTCTTTTTTTCTTTTTTTCCTTTTTTTTTTTTTTTTTCTTTTTTCTTTTTTTCTTTTTTTTTTTTAAATAGAAAAGAGGAGCCCTTTGTAGTCCTTTGTCGTGGCGTACCAGAGCTTTTAAGTGAACGTATCTTGTAACAATAGTTACATGAACGGAGGGAGTACGGAGGTCGGCTATCAAAAAGTTTTGACTCGTGCTAAAACTTCGTTTAATCCAAATTGAAATGTTGGGGAATCTTATGCCTAAAATTAACTAGTTTGTCAAAAACTTTTAGGCAGTTAGTTTGGCTAAGGGCAACAAGAGAAATTCTAGCGCGAGTCAAAAACTTTTGATAGCCGACCTTTCGCACTTGGCGAAGGAATAAAGGATCCAAGATCCCACAGTCATCGAAACCTCGGTGGAACTTAAAAGAATAATGATGTAAACAAGATCCTTGGTGGATAGAGATTTTGTCGGGACCATGGATCAGTCGGTTACTTAGAAACGCGAATTGTCGACTTGTTCGAGAAGAGGTGTACCAAGGGCGCGCCATGCCCGATTCTGTAAGCGAGGTTGGCATTGAATCAGTGATCTGTAATACAGACAAATCCTGATCTATGAAGAGTTTTGACGAAGGAGAAAATTTCCCATTCTTCCCCCTTCCGCCCGGACGGTTCATTTCCCTGGCGGTACCAAATTTCCCAATTCCCTGATCGACGACGGATAAGGTATTTCTCCCCCCCTCCCCTCCATGAGACCAATAATAGGATTCGAGTTACTCTCTTTCCACCCAGAGAACGCACACCCTGGGATCAAGGTCTCGGTTTGAGACGTGAACAAAATCATGGTTAGAATTCCCCAACTGAAAAAAAAAAAGAAAAAAAAAAAAAAAAAGAAAGAAAAAAACCCCACGAAGAAACATGGGAATGCCCATCAGGGAGGCCGTCTTCCATGTCTCCGAGAACGAACTGTATGCTGATGCTCCACAAATTTTGCTCTCGCCTTCACATCTTCAAGACAAGAAGAGATAGCCCGTTGCCAATTGCCCAAGCGCCGGCCGGCGGTTGTGGTCCTGGGCCGTGGGGACACAGGGCGAGTCGAGTTTAGCGCAATCTGGGTCAGCCCATGGCCCATCGCACAGTACGGAGATAGATCGGGCTAGGGTGTTCTTGGTCTAGCCCCGATAGCTGTACAGAGTGTACTGTACACGTTTTACAGTACAAGTTACGCAGTATCGTTGTATCCAAGCACCCAGCAACCCAGTATCCAGTATCCAGTGCCCAGTATATCCAGCGTATCCAGCGTATCCAGCGTATCCAGCGTATCCAGCGTATCCAGCGTATCCAGCGTATCCAGCATATCCAGCGTATCCAGCGTATCCAGTTATATCCAGTATCCAGTTATATCCAGTATCCAGTTATATCCAGTATCCAGTTATATCCAGTATCCAGTGTATCCAGTATCCAGTGTGTCCAAGCATCCAAGTACCCAGTGTCAGTATGCAGTACCCAGTATCCAAGGATCCCTCGTACCCGGGTAAGTTTTAATTTCACACATTGAGTTCCTAATCTAAAACCACCATTGAATGCTCTTTCATTGCTCTCTGATGTTCTTCTTTCATGTTCCTTCATGGAATCTCTGGATCTAATGAAAGCCTCGAATCGGGTTCAAAATTTTATGGTAGGCTTGTTTCAATTCTATTCTACGATCCGGTGATTATAGATAAGCTATTCTGCAACAGCTGAGATTGTCGATGCCAGATCCTTGCTTGGTCCCCAATCCGAGTTATGATAATGATGAACCTTGACCGCTGCTCCTAAGAGGAATATCCCATCTCCGCTGGAGGAAGGTAGCTAACAGGCCAAATCTCTTTTAATAGTTCTTTAACCTTAGCTCATTATTAATGATTTGTGATTATGCTGGGCTGAAATGTTTTGTTCTTGTATCTTCACAGTATGAAACATGGGCCCCATTGTATGAGGAATGGTCAGTTTTAGTTAGATCGCCTCCCTACCCAAGTTATTCCACCGTATCACAGGGGCTGCGGCAACATGAGATCTAATTCGGCGGTCAATGGGCTTTGTTCTTATTCCTATCATGCATCATCATCGTCATTATCATCATTATCATCATTATCATCATTATTATTATTGTTATTATCCATCATTATTACTATCATCAATGATCAACAACAACATCATCATCATCATCATCATCATCATCATCATCACCTTAGAAGTGGAAGATGTAGATGATGATAAGAATGTCCTAGCGTGGATACTCCATTTTTTTCCGATGCGCCTACAACCACATGTGCCAAGCCACCATCCGATCGTAGCATTGCATCGGTCCACAGGAGACAATAAAAGACCCGCACTTGGCAACGCCCACAGATTCTAAAAGCTGTTCGGGGTTAGCCACGCAGCCTAGAGTACATGCTAAATAATGAAACGAAACTCAAAATCGATCCGCCTCGCAGCCTCTCTGCTGATTCGCCGTATCTTGGCAAGCCCCTCCCTTGCTTTTGGCATCCACTCGCCCGTCCTCAAAGAAACGATCCCCTTTGCAAGACTATTGCAGGGAGAAGATCATCCCGGTTTATTTGTTTAATAATGTATTTTGATTTTCTAGCCCAACACGTTGTTGAACTTTAATCGAAATATCCCGTCGTCAAGCCTTTTTTGACTTTCCAGACCCAGTTTCAAAATTTGATACGATGGTTCTCTGTAGTCATTGGATTGTTCACGGCCTTTTTCTCGTAATCATAACGAGTTAACTTGTCTTCGTGGGTTTTGTCTTTTAAATTAAACGGGTTCTAGGTTCTTAAAAAGAAATACAACTGCCGATCGGAGAAAGTGAGCTGTTCAACGGTTCTAAGCTCTCTGGTGTGGGACTTTTTCGACATTGCCTCGTCTCAAATTTGAGAGCGGGACAAAGGAAGCGCGTGGCGGTAAGATCAAGGGGGGGGCACGGGATAAGTTCCCTCATCCCCAGCAGAACAATGGGGGATCTAGACGACGGTTGTATACGCTTAAACGGTTTTCCATTCGTCATCTTGGCAAACCTTCCTGTCACATTTTGACTTTTCTTGAAACATGTATCACATCCAACACGGTTGGCGCCACATGTACAACCCTCACGGAAAATCCATCGCCGCGGTCTGCGGTCCGAAAATCCCGAGTTATGACCTGTCTCACGCAAGAATTGTGTTTTGTTTTTTGCTGTAATGCATGCGTTCTGGTTCCCTTTCACCTGCCATCCACTCAGCAACTCAGCCTGGCCATTGGTCTTGGTCGATCCCAAAGGGCAATCCGGGTGCCACCCGGTCAAAGTTGCACTTTATTCAATCTGTGGTCGCGTCATATGCACATCAAAAAATATTCCGAACCATCGTTCGTGCAATGGCTGTACGGAGTTAATGCAGCCCAACTTGGTTCGAAAGTGGCCCCGCCAAGCAATGCCAACCCAAGGGCACGACCTTTTCCCGTCCCTGCTCTCGTGGGTTTTGGTTCAAGCACAGAGAAGCTGGAGACCAACAATGGTCTCACTGGAGAGCAGGGTCATTGGAGGTCCTTTTTTATTTATTTTTAGTTTAATTTAATTTATATTTGTTTTTGTTTATTTTATTTAATATATATATATATATATATATAATTTATTATTATTTCTTATTATATATTTATATTTATTTATATTTATATTGTTTTGGCTTGCATGTGCTGAGCAAACAATCCGTGGTAATCGTTTTCGTCACTCGTCTATCATAGAGGAGGGGAAAATGATGAAAATTGAGAATTGTTTGAGACCCCAAGATCTCAATATTCATTGCACAGGAGCCTCAATTAAGATATATGATCTAATATTATCTGCAAGCAAAGTTTGAAGATGGAGATGACTTGTTCACTGGTTATGTGTTGGGAAGTTTTGCTTTAGTCATAAGATATGATATGATAGCTAAACAATATGAGCTCTTTTAACACAATAAATCATCATGTGCTGCGAAAAAATGTCTTGTATCACAATCTCAGTTCCTCCAAGAAAAAGAAAGCAAGAGTAGTTTTTGTTGCAAAAAAACTCGCCTTTCAATCCATTTCTTTGTGTCCTGGTTTTCTCTGCCTCTGAAATACGTCTGTGCGGGAGATCTTGATCTCATCCAGTCTTACTGTCCTGCGCTCGACCAATAATGCAGTTCTCGAACAGGCACTTCGGTATACATACAACTCTTCACGCTTTCCCCCGGCCAGGACTGAAGTTTCTTTCAGGTACTCAGTAATGATAATAGTGCATTGGAAGATCGCAATTCAAACATCGCCGTCTTCCTTGGCCTTCTTTCCCCTGCCCAGATAAGCTTCCCGCATCGAGCTAAGGGCAATGGGTTTTATATTTCAGTTTTATTCTGATATGAGATGGATGATGATGATGCCCCCTGTACAATCAGCAAGGTTGTATGTGCCTGCCCATCTTCATATATGGTTGAAATGTTCCGTACTGCACTCCGTACATGGCCGCAAGATATAATAATGACGGGAACACACACATGCATGAACAGCATGTCATTGCAAAGCCGTTGTTGCATCATTAATTCTCCTGCTGAAGAATAAGTGATGGCTAGGAAAATTAGCGGCAACGTACAGAAATTAAAAAAAACGAGTTTGAATACGAGTCCCCGGAAACAAATCGAATGAAAGGGAAGTGGGTGCCCAGAGATGCAATGCACAGGTACATATTATTATTGTTGTTGTTCAGAGGAGAGCTGTGTGGATGAATATGACGACCCTGTGCATTGCGGCATCAGCCCTCCCGCATTACTGGACGCAAGCAGCCGTTGTTACACCCACCATCTGAATAATCAAGATCCTTATCTCGATCTGACCGATTGGCGGCAATAACCTCTCGTATTTTGAAGGGCGCTAAAAGAACCCGATAAATTAACTTGAGAGTCTAGTCCATTGACGGTTGATACGGGAGTAATACCTCAGTGTGTTTTTATGATTTTCCGCTATGTGGATTTTATACATGTCCAGCAATCGTTACATTCCACAACATTACCATGATCGATATCCCTTGAAGCAGCGGAATGTTAATTGGCACTTTTCTTTATGTGTTTTGTGCGATTCTCTGATACTGTGATACCATGATACCGTGATACGGAAAAAAACTAATTATTCACAGGTACTCATTGGCTGAAGCAATGGGGTCGGTGATCTTCGTTCTATTTTAAGATGCAGGAGGTGAGATCTCAAAAACTTGAGGCTTGAAAGTCGACAAAAGGGTCGAAGTGGATGGACATGGTGGAGCAGGGGATTTTCATCGGAGATGAAATATCTTCTAGAAAATCTTAGCGAACAGGGTAAGCAAAACAGGGGGGGCCACAAATGCTTACTTCCCGGTCATAAATCAACCAGCTAACTAACTATACATTTTAAGCATGGTTATCAGTGTAGTTTCTCGTCGAGGAAACTTTTTTTTTTTTTTTTTTTTTTTTTTTTTTTTTTCAAAAACAATTGTATGTGCATGAATATTGATTTGGATTTTGAACGCATTGCATTCTACTAACTTGAGTTTTCTTACCCGCTCGGGACTCCTTGCGTGGATATGTAATTCCCGAGCAGCCCCCAAACCCATGCCGTTCGTTCAATTAACTTTGATAGACAAACCTTTTGGCGACTGTGGTAACTAACTAAATAAATCGATTTTGTCAAGCGAAACCAGCAGGGGTTTCTTGGAAGCTCCTCGAATTATTCAAGTCGGAAATTTGGTGGTTATGTGTCACCCGGGTCACCCATGTGTTGTTGTCAGTCTGAAGTCAGATTTGCCGCGATGCAACAAACATAGAACTTACTATATTATTACCGCCGTTTATCGGTGCTACATTCAAGCTTATGGGACCCTCCAGCACTGTAGAGGATCAGTCCGCGATCATTGATCAAGGTGCAAGAAAACCCTCCGATACGCGAAATGATGAAGTGCAGGGAACCTGGGAATCCAAAGCTGCTCATTGGACCGATAATGTCTGTGTAAACCTTGGAAGCCATGCAACAACATCTGTTGCAGGCAAACAGCCTCCACTGCTTTGTCTACGTGGTGTTGGCAGAGAGGAACATATCAAGATTGCAGACGAGGGAAGCATGGATAGAAGAGTTGAGGCTAGGTCGAACAGTTCGTAGAGTTTGTCTAGTAACCTTCACTTCTCCTGTGTTTTTAGACCCTTGGTTTCGAGGATTTAAGGATTGTCATTCCCTGGAGTGGTTTCTCCAAGTTTCCGCCCACAGGGGGATGGGATTAAATGGCAAAGTGCATGTATTTCATGCGGTCGTAATGCGTAACTATTCATCATTGTAACTAATGGTTAATCTTGTCTCATTGAGTGGGCGTCTTACAGTATTTCCAACAAGGACACAGATCAAGATGTTTGCGATATTTTTTCCCTTTCTCCAAAGTTACCCTTTATTTGACAGAAAGGTCCATGTTAAACTGGAGTGGAATTGCTGAGAATGCGCTGAAGTCTCTTCTTGTCTGAGGCTGCTCAAGGATATAGTCCTGTACAGAAAGGACCCCGAGATCTTTTGAGTTTATTTCAGGTAGGGGATGAATCGTCGAGCTCTAACCTTCAATGGACACTTTTCATTTTCACGGAACCGAGCTCCAATAGCCCTATGTTGGAAGTTCTTGCCCAACAGATTTTATACACAGGATGCATTAGTTAACAGGATTCTTTCATTAGGTGTCTCTTCTGCATTCCCCTGATGATTCTTCCAAGGTTGAACCTCTCTTACTATCAGTTAGGCAGTTGGCTTGCGGAATCAAGTATTTCCGCCCCCTCTCCTTAACTTTGTCAACATATTTGTTTTCAGTTCAACATCAATCCTAACGCCAGGGGTACGATGGTCTAGATGATACAGGCAATGTTTCCTCCTGCATTTGATGACCCGCAGTGTCCAAAAAATGGGAAATACTGAGGCTGTAATTGGGCCAAAGCACACCCTGAACCAATGAGAAGAGCCGCTTCACCATCTTATTAGAGAAAATCTTCCGTTACATGAAGGCTTGTTGATCGTGGGTTCGTGGGTCAATCGACCAAATCCCGAAACTTTAGTCGTGATATCTCTCGCGGCACTTTTGAACATGTCTTGCCGGGTCCCTGGGACAGTAGCGTGAGAACGAGCGTGGTGTGGATTGGGGGAATAGCTCTAAGATGGGTGGGGGTGTGTGGGAAGAGGAGGAAAGGGTCAGTCCCCGCCTTTCTTCTTGGGTTTGAATTGAGGGTCTGATCAAGAATGACGAGGAGGAATAATCTGCTCGAAGACCAGACTTTTGTCCAGCATTAGCAAGGGGAGCCCTAGTGCCGAGCTTGCAACTGTTGATGCGGACTGGCTGTAGGGATAAGTGAAATGCCGATGTGGAGCACAAAGTGGGCTGGCCCCATATTTAATCTTGGGCTTGTCATGAGGAGGGTTTTCTTAGCAAGAAAGTGGCGTCTGTGGACATCTCCATCGTCAACAAGTTTCCGCTTTTCTGTATTTTAATTTCTTACCAGGCTTCCCGAGATCGTGTTGGTCTGTTTTGCCGTTACAAGTGGGTTACATTCTTGCCAGGATCTGTTTCCTGTTTCCAGGTTTCTCATTTTCCAAACTTCCAGTATGTTTGAGATATCACGGTTGGAAAATCGAGATCTCCTGGTGCTTCTGCATCAAGGATAGGGAAATTGGTACGACCCAAGGTTCTCCTTCAGTTGGTCTCATCAGTCAGGGACGACTTGTCCCCAACGCCACAATTTCATACCGGCCCCCGCGCCTGTCACATCCGTCCCGACTGATTGCTTGGGTGTGGACAAGGTCATACTAGAGCAATGAAGAGGGTGAATCGCGAAGGTGCAGCATCTAGGGTGGTGGTGCCAAAAATAGGATATACAAGATGGAACACATTCCGATTTGTATGCAAACATATGTACTGTGCCGAAAACATCATCAAATACCTGGATGTCCTGGTCTGTTTACTTCTTACCCCTGTCAAACTTTGTGCCAAGGACAGAACTTCTTGATCTATGTTAAGGGAGATGAAGAGAGCGGTTCTTGGGCGAATGTGGAGATCAGAGTAAATGACGGGAAGAGTGAAATTGAAAATTTCAGGGGCTTCGGCGAAGTGTTTGCTTCTTACCATGTGTATCGAGTACGACGACGGGCAATGAAGGGCAATGAAGGGCCGTGATATTGGCTTGCCAGTTTCAATCCGTTTCGGGCTAAGGTCTTTTCGATGTTTTCAAATATTCATGCGAGAGAAGGGAGCTGACTTCTCGCATAGATCCGCATTCGTGATTTCAGGAACTACTGCATAGGTGGAGATGATCAGTTTTCAAGGGTTGGGCTGGCAAGGGGAGTTGACGCTTGGGAAATCCCTGTCCAGTGGTTCAAAGGAAATTTGGCAGTCCAGGTTTCTGCAGACCATCCCGAACCTCGCCATGAGATGACCTGTGGGAAAAAAAAATGCGGGAGCAAGCAGAGCTTGTTGATATGTATGAGGACTTCAGTATGACCTCTGACATTCATGGACAGGATATCACAAGCTAGACGTAGTTGGCATACGCAGTTTATGCTACATGGCACCAATCTTGCGCGATGTGGTAAAATTTATCACTATTTGCATCTCATCCGCTTTCCAACACCACTAGGAGTTCTAATATCTGTATGTTCAGGATGGATACAATGAGGTCAAAATGCCATACATAGGTCATCAGTTCATCAGTTCTGCAGCCTTCCCGATATTGCATTATGAATTTCGTTTCTTCTTCATACAATTCTTTCCCGCTCCCGTCAAAACTAGACTCTCCCGTTTTGCATTCCCTCAGTTAACTTTTTTGCATGTATCCACTTTCGTTCTTCCGCGTCTACAAAACCTGCCTTTCTCCTCTTAAAATGCCAGCTGGTGTTCTTTATTATTTTGCAAGGTTAACCGGTTGAACCAAAGAATAAACCTGCTGCAACTTCTGACAGCAAATCTCTTTAACGCCTGCAAACGCACAGTGATACATTTGGCAATCAGGCCTTGGTGAGGCGGATCCCTCAGAAACTTGTCCCTGTGGTGACCAACAATGCTACCTTAGATTACCCCATGCCGTCTCACACGGAATATTATATGCATGCTGGATCTACAACGTCACCTTGTGGTATTATTACATGCTGTGCTCAACCTGATGAGTTTAAATACATACAAAACTAAACAATACATGCTCACTTACGTATGTGTATACACACCTCTCGATTGTTTCCTTGTTACGTCCATGGGCTACAAGTCTCAATCACACTCATCCTTGCTCTTAACAAGATTCAGCAGGAAACCCGGCCTATAAGTTTGTGAGCGATTCACCCATCTTACACAAGCCTCATGTGCTAGAAGGGACTCGTCATACATCATCCAAGCATGTCATCGGAAACGGCAGTGATTTGACGGAAAGCTGTGGTGATTTGATTAATCTCACAGCGTGAGTGACAGCTGCCTGTGATATGAAACCAACAATTGTGTATCACGAAAACTGTTAAGTACTCTCTCTACCTTTTTAAAGCTTTGTATAAAATATAAGCTTTTCAGTTGCACAGAAGGAGATATTCAACCTATAGATGCACAGATTCTGTAAGTTGCGTATAACTCCCAACGCGTTCTGCGTGCAGGTGCATCGCAATCATTTCGGATACTAACATCTCCTCAAAGTTGCTTGAGGCTGGCTCCTCGGCGATTGTGAAAGTACTGAAAACACTTGCAATCAAGGAATCGCCAACCTGGTTTCATCGTCAACATTCTTATTTTGTTTCCTTTTACTCGCCTTCAGTGACCCATTATTTGCATTTCAGGGATATTTGATACTCATTTCCATAGACAAACCTGCCGGTATTTGAAATTCTCCAAACAGGGGTGCAAGTCGGAGACCATCAATTGAACTATTTGAAGACGAAGGGACCTTTATCTTGAGTTGTGTCGCGGATCCAAGTACGATAGAGCAAAAAAACAGGAAGACCTTGGAGAATCAAGCTTCAGCTTCAATTGCGTTTGCCCCTGAATTTAGAGATGCATGTGCAACACTGATGAAGGTGTCCACTAACTATTTCAATGCAGTCGTTGACTATTCCTCTAGCTCTCTCTACATATGACCTCAGATAATATAGTTTTTTTAAGACGTCCTCTTCCTTTTCTATCGCCAAAGCACGTCGCTAAAATGCGAGAGCTGTGGGGTGAAATAAATGACTGTGTCATGAGCCACCTTACATGACGGTTCGCATATCACCACATATGGAGCTAACCGACTAAGCGAAGAGAGGAAGTTAATGCTGGCTTCTGGTCTTTACTTAATCTCAGATATTTTGATTCTCAGATGAAGTTGCCGTTGGATTATCTTCTGGGCGTCATCCTTGGAGATCTTGACAGGAAACGATAGCCCCTGTAATGATTACATTGGCGTTGAAGGGTAGGTAAATACCCATTGCTATGTTAGTCGTGTGGGTCAAAGGCGCAAAAATTGGTCCCCGGGGAGACAAGTTGTCATTTTGCCATCGCACCCTGGCGGACTGGAAAGTGGAACAATGGAGCATCATATTCTTCCGCAGGGATACAGGGATAGGGAATGTTGGGACAAGAGAAGCAAACTTGGAAGGGCATTTGATGCTCGTGGCCTTTGATTCGTTTCTTTTATTGGCATGTCTGTGGTGGCTCGAAGTTTTCGACAATAAATGCCGGTAAATTCTAACGCCGCATGTGACGGGTTGCTCGGCTCGTTGTCTTGACTGGGGGAAGAAATGAATAATGAACACTGGGTCCGTGATTCCCTTTGCATTCGCTATTTGTGGTCTTTGGAAGGCTAGGATGCTAGCTGTGAAGGGGGATCAGGAATTGTGATTCAGGTGGGATTTTGATCCCTGGCTGGTGGAAATAGGATGTGGATCGAGACCCAGCTGCTCGATCTCTTTGATGATCTCCTGTTCAAGCGCTGCTGACTCGGGATTCCTGGATGTTTGCCTGGCCCCTTTCTATTTTGTTTATCCAATTATCGCATCTTGAGCTGAATGGATTTAGGCGGGTGAGAAGGTATTGGTTCCAGCACACTGAGAGTTGGATTAAAATCTCACAGCCTTGATGGTGAGTGCCTGGATGATTGTTAGCCCAGGAGAATAATGAAGCGAGGGAAATACGCAGTAGACTTACTGGATCCTTGCCTACGTTGCATGGATGACAGCAAGATCACTAGACAATTGTTCTCTAATTAACACGTCTGCTCTGGCTTCCATTACTCTGTCCGTCACTCGTTTAATGATATCCTATGTAAGACATATTCGACGGTCCAGCGAGAGATGGTAACGGCATGGTTCGATAGACTTTCTCACCAGGTTACCTTTGTTAATTCATTCCATTAGAAGATCTGCCAATCTCCAGGAGGTGTTTAAACTGATGGCGATTTCAAATGCCCCTGGCTCAGACTTAGCCAGGCAAACCAAATTGGCAGAGAATTATTGATATCAGGGGCTCACACTGCAGGATTGCACAGATAGTCGAGATAAATGCCGAAGCGTTGAGATGTGAAAAGAGTAATTTCTGTATCGTTCTTATTTATGGAGCGCGAGGCAATCCTGTCCTCGATTTGTTGCAATGTAGGCATGTGTGCCGTCACGCTCTCCACTTTCTGAAGGCTTCTGAGAAATGAAACCGACATTTGATAAGCATTCTGAAGCTGGGAAAAGATCCGTAAGCGTCAGCTTTGAGGTTAAACCTGAAGCATGTTGTACTCCATCAGCCCACATCCGAGTTGTTTAACTGTGGCTTTAATTCTGTCGCCCAATCTCCGTGATAAAAGGTCACTTTGCAAACCCTGGTTATTAAACGGTTAATATATTATCACCCTGGAATGAAAACACGGAATTTCAGTCAGCGTTTTTTAGTTATACCTTCCATGCAATGTAATCTTATTTCTTGATTTTGCTACCAGAAGAAATGAAGAAATGTCGGAGAATAAATCTATGGATCTCCCGCAACCACAACGTGGCAAGATCGTGTGGTGGCTGGCTGAAACAGCTTCCAGAAACCGACCGAAAAATCTTCATGAGTGGATCAACAAATCGTAACAACATTGGAAGACTCTTGACAGATATGAAGCTGTTGTGAAAGGAGTCAGGGGCAAAAATTGTCATTTGATCTCTCTTCAGTTAATCTTCATAACCCCTCAAACCAACGACCTTGCAACCTCTCTTCCAAAGAATGTCATGTATCTCGAGAAACGTTCGCAAATTGGAAATCATGCCATTTGATTTTCAATTTGATATTTGCGTTTACTTGAGTTGATTTGTTTTGGAATCAGCAAAGTCTCACTCATATTACCAAATTTCACTCGAGTTAACAGCGGGACACCACATAGATCCTAACTTCTCCCCCCCACCGCTTTTTTCTTTTCCCCCTTTAAGCTCTGACCCCAACTAGTGAAATATCTCTCACATGCTCAAGCCGATTAAGTGAGAAGGGGTACTTGAGTCTTCCCAGAGAAGACGTACTCAACGGACCCTCACCAGCCTCACCTTCGTGGGAGATTCAAATTCAAAGTGGGTGGGAGATGTCGGACACCTCCAACATCCGCCCTTTTAAGTCACCACCGTCTCGTTCTTGCATGAGATACACAGGCATCGATTGACAGGAACGGGGATTTATAACTAATCCATCTGCTGAACAGATCGGTTAGTCTGCTCGACCCTTTAAATATCAATTTGTGTTTAAGTATATTCTGAAGTGTCGTCGTGGTGAATGATAGATCTTCCTGGTTCTATATAAGGTACAAACTTGGAATTTGAGTGCGTCACATTCGTCGAAGTGTTTTGTTGGTGGTTCTCTTGTTTGACGGACTTTGACTACTGTCAACTTATATGCCTGAGTCCCCTCCTGAGAGAGCAGCATACAACATGGAAATAGATGCGTCCGTTGATTTACAGTTGACGTGTTTGAAGTCCGAGGTTGACTCCATTTTGGGAATTAGCACGAGATGCGACAATCCAATCAAGGGCCAACATATTTCCATCATGCAGTGGCTGGTGAACAAGAGCATTCTACCAAGGTAATATTTTATTTGATTTCTCTTGTCCCCTCGCTTTAATCGACACCAGGATAACAAATTGATATCAATCTAGCACAGTTATAAGCAACAACAACAACAACAACTATAGGATGTACTGAAGATATATCGTGTCAACCCTATAGAAAGTATCAGTGAAATGAGTAATCATATGTTGAGCTTACTAGGCTAAGCAACAACAAGGGCCTTAAGGGCATGTATAAAGTTTACCATTTTCCAAATTTGAATCCCACTTCCTTCATCCTTCCTCTCTCCACAAACCCTCTTTGAACATACCATTCCCTCAAGCCTTCGCCCCCGTTCTTCCCTTCAGTATCGACAGCCATAACAGCCAGTACATTCTTGACCGGAAATCCGTCTTGAATACCGACTTCATGCTCCAGATCGCCCGCAAATTCTCGGGCGCGATGTTTCGTCTCCTTCAGAAGTTCTATCAACGATGAGAGGAGCTTACTTCCGATGCCTTGGGACTGATAGTCTGGATGGACGAACAGGGAGAGCTCGACGGTAGGCCCGTATGCAAGCAGTTGGCCCCTGAAAGGGGACACCTGTGTATATCCACAGACTTTCTCCTGCGCGTCCACCTCATTGCTGGTGTTAGCCCCTTCAGGCCGCTCCACGGCAACGAGAAATGGTAGCCCTCGATCTCGTGTAGCGTATAATTTATCCGCTACGTATGAGAGAGGGGGCTTGTTAATGAGAAATGTTATGACTGTATTTAGGACGTAGTGGGTAAAGATGGAGTGCATTTGAGGGATATCTGATTCCGTTGCCGGGCGAATTTTGATGGCCATTTTTAAGAGACAATGTTAGGTGTTTTGCCGTTCGACACACAAATATGGGCAGTATAGAAAGATGAATTGCTTTAACAGTTATCTCTCGGACGAACGCCGCGGAACCAGATGCCATTTGTCGAGACCCAAAGCCCTCTCTGTATACGAGATCAGATCAAGATAAGATCTCAGCTTTGCGTGTGGCGTCGTCGAGATTGAATGGGCCAATCATGTTGTGTCGCTGGAAAGCTCACATGATCCAACCGGATCCAACCATACAGAATCACGTGTCGCGACAGGGCCCTTGGAACTCATTCCAACAGCTTCAGCTCATCCCGTCAGCTGAAAGGGTTGAGCTAGGAGCCCTTTGGCCTCTCTACAAAGTGGCTCTCAACGACTGAACTTCCTTCAAGCTCCTCGTCTGGAACGGTCTCAATCCCGAACTCAAGTCACAAAGAGAAGAGCTCCGGTTCTGCCAACGCTCTTTCGGTTGTCGCAATTTTGCAACTTAAGACCGTATTTCGTAGCTGCGAGCATCATGGCGTCTTCTCGCATCCCAATATCTGAAATTCCCAATTTATCTCTTCTTTACAAGCTTAAACATTTGGCTCCCTCGAAAAGCCCTTGCGTCGCTAACCCATCCCAATATCTTAATGATTCGATATGTCTTATTACCAGCGACATAACCAAGCTCGAGGTTGACTGTATTGTAAACGCCGCAAACAAATCTCTTCTTGGAGGAGGTGGTGTTGATGGGGCAATCCATCGTGCGGCTGGTCGTGGTCTTTGGCAAGAATGTCGCTCCTTGGGAGGGTGCATGACTGGCGATGCTAAGATAACCAATGCCTATAACCTTCCATGCAGAAAAGTTATTCATGCAGTTGGGCCCATGTACTGGGCGGATGAAGATAGGGAATCGCTTCTCCGCAGTTGCTACATGCGCAGTTTGACGATCGCCGCGGAAAATGGATTGAAAAGCATTGCTTTCTCTTCAATCAGTACTGGAGTGTACGGATATCCGAGTTCGCAAGCAGCGGAGGTGGCTATTCGTGCCGTCAAACATTTCCTGGAAGCCAGATCTTCTCCCCCAGAACGAGTAATCTTTTGCACTTTTGAACAAAAGGATGTAAATGCTTACCGTGCTCTTCTTCCGTGAGTGGCTCGTTTGCTTGTTTGCCTTGTTAATCTCTTTTACGACTCAAATATGAACTAACTGTGCGACTTCACACAGAGCGTATTTCCCACCAACTGATCAAGATCTTTCAATGGCAACGGAAGAGGCCACTGCAGCACCTCTCCCTCCCTCGTCTTCGCCAGCAACACTTGCAGCGACTCTACCTGACCCACCCACCTCAGAACTCACCCTAGAAGGCCAGCCGGATGCCAAAAAGGCCAAAGTTAGCTCCGATGATTCCAGTGGCCGATTTCTTGACAAGGTTGACGATAAGAATGAGGATGACTGGGACAAGGTTGACCAGGATGATATAACCAACACTGCGGTAGAGCGGCTCGATGAAGAGCCTGTTGAACTGGACGATCCTCCTTCTTCTGCCGAAGTCCAAAGCGTTGTATCCAGCACTGCAGACCTCAAGGAGAGCGACGTTATGGAGGGGAAGAAATGAAACAATATACGAAAGGCGAAGGTTACAAATGTTCTGACGTTCTTTGTTTTTATTAGCTGGTTGGCATTGATTTTCCCAACTTTTTGATTTTATCATATGATTGCCCACCCCTTCATGTGGAAAACATTAAAGGTTTACGGATGGATCAGAGCAATATTAGGCGTATTAGGCGTAGGAAACTGGGAGCGTTTTGTGTTGTTCATCTTTATTCATGAACTACATTAACTATTCAGTGGTTGCTTGCAATGAGTCTTGTCTTGGTCCTATCAGGAGTAACTATGAATACATCGAGAGAGAATTAAATAACCAAGAAAGACCCTCCTGCCAATATCCAATACAAAAAGAAATCTAGTTTTCAAGAATGGTTGTATGCAGTGGAAATAGTCCTCTTCCTCACCGAGACAATCGATCCCGTGAATGATGTCATATGATCAGCTAACCCCCCTCAAACCAAGCAAACAGAACAAACTAAGCAAACACTGAATACTCCGTCGCAAAAGACATCTCCGCTGCGCATTGAGCTTGTATACACCCTCCCACAACCACCTGTTATAACCCCAATACCCTTAGCTGACTACTAACCAACCTCCTGGCAACAATGGCCTGAACAAAGGAAACAACAAGCGCTCCGATCTTGAACCCGCCGGGTCCGCCAACAGCCCAGCCATGCCTCCCGAACAAGGCCCTTCCCTAGTCAAACCCCCTCCCGCTCGCAAAGGATCTATACCAAAGCCACGGAAAGGAACACAATCTCCCACATCTCCCTCTCTGTCCTCATATGACGCCCCATCAGACAAAACATATGTGAAAACCAAACTCCGAAGCCGCAAACTCGACCCGGCAGGATACGCTAAAATCCTAGAACAACTTTCCTCCTCCTCCTCTTCCTCTCCTGTTTCCCCCTCTTCATCATTAAATCACCCGCAAAAGATAGCATCTTCGTCACAACCCGAGCCACCTCCCCGCAGTTCCAGTTCTTTCTGCTTCACTACCATCCGGAAATCAGCTCTTCGCTGGGGTAGTTATGGCCTGCTTGCAGCAGGCGGACTTCTCTTATTCTCCGAACACGTCGTGCAGGTGATGTGGGTGAACGGGACGTCAATGAAACCCTACTTGAATGAGGGATATGAAGAGACGCATTTAGTCAAGGATATGATGTTGGTGAAGAAGTGGAATCCGGCGAGGGACCTGAGGAGGGGGATGGTCATTACATTCCCGTAAGTAGATATACATACATAAATATATCTATATGTCCTACCCTTCCTTTTCTTTTCTTCTTCTCGTCTATTGGTTTCCTTATACCAACCCAACATATAAACAGCTCCTACCTCAACCCATCCCAACCCGCCGTAAAACGCATAGTAGCCCTTCCAGGCGATCGCGTTGTTCCGCGCTCTCATAATGAGGATGGCTCACAGATCGTCCCCTGGAACCATGTGTGGGTCGAAGGGGATATGGACGATCCAAAGAAGACGATGGATAGTAATACGTATGGCCCCGTGTCGATGACTTTGATTTCGGGGCGGGTAATGTGTGTGCTTTGGCCGCAGCTGAGGATGTTGAGGTGGGAGGATTGGGCGCGGAAAGGCGGGGAGGGCGCGGGGAAGCGGCCGAGGGTTCAGGAGAATGCGGTCGCAATTGAGAAGCCATATGACGGGGAGTGAGATTTTAGGATATTTGGGAGTGGTGGATCTGTGTATTATATTATTCCATACATCCTTCTGTACATGTATATTATTACTATTGTTCTTCTAGGGCGAAAGGAATGCTAGGCCTACCAGCTGCTAGGCTTGAGATGCTTTTTTTTTTTCCCAGGGAAATTCCCTCTTCTCCGGTTGAATATCGAATATTGAGTAATGGAGATGTATTGATACAATGAGATAATATCGCTAGTGTTGAGTACACTCACAAGAAGCAGGCATCCGGAGGGCGGCTAACAATCCTCATCCATGAAATCAATCGAACCCGGAATGGATTGAAAGTGCACGTGTATGCACCCGGAAAAAGAAAAAGAAACACTGTACTCAGCGCAGTCTGTTGCTATAAAATATAGAGGGAAACACCTCGCCCAAGAGAAATTTGTGACCGACATAGAGGTAGCTCACTGGTCCTTGGAAATAATCCGCATATCCTCCAGCTGCTGCAGTCTATCAATCTCCGTCTCAATAGCTAACACCCACATATCTCGCTCAGCCCTACTTCTCGCCTTGAACACGATAGATCTCCCTGGGACTCCCAAGGCAGATACCCGCTTCCACTTCGTCCGTGCCAGGGCATTCCCCTTATGTTGCCATTCCTGGCTACGGAAAACGGTCTTCCGCGCATTGTACCAGACCACGAAGCACGTGGCTATATCCTCGTCCGACGAAGTCCATCCATCGGTGATATAGAGACGAGGCGAAGCGCGTTGGCCTGGTAAATTAGTGTCGATGGTGTGATTTTGGTAAAGGAGGTCAGAGCTGGTTATTAGGCCACTGTATATATAACAGTCACGGAGATCTAGGGCCCATTGGCGTTCTTGATGAGTATGCGGGATTTCTTGGCCAGAGAGTTTACGGAGATGGCTTTGGAAAGTAAGAATTTGGCCTTCAGTTAGGATCACGCTGCAGTCTCTAAATGCAGATCGGCGACGGATTTTGCAATACAAGTTACCAGACATCTAAGTTGAGGGTCAGATTGGTTTGCTAAGGCCATGGTTAATTATCCGCTGTGAATAATATGAGGCCTACCTTAACTGCTCGACATCCCGACACTCCGCACATGTTGAACAGCTCTGGCGATGCCTGTGCTTTAGACACCTCCCAGCTCTGCGCAAATTGCCCAACCCTGGATTCTTGGCCCTCGGTTATATTCAGTTGTTTTAGGTTTTGCCGACGGACGGATTTCATAATGGCTATATCGTCTTGAGTTCGAGCAGTCCAGTATCGAACAAGAGCGGAAAGTCGCTCAACCCATTGATTCCTTGTCTGCATATCATAGGCACGGAAGTTTACAATAAGTCCGTCACTCATCACCAAGTCAAACGATCGGTTAGATTGGGATTGCTGATGCTCTGGACCGTCTATTTGTCTAGTATCCCTCGCTTCGTCGTGGAATTCAACATCACCCCCATTGATATGTGATTCTTCAGGAAAATGGTTTTGATGACCAATCCGTACTTCCAATACCCGACAAAGATCAAAGTAGCCCTCAGATCTTTCCAGATTTTCCAGATTCCTTTTGCTCTCGGCGTATGCTTCGGCATCGTGCCGTTCTCGAGAAATTTGCCCCCCCCTCAAAAGCCATGAGATACTTTTATTTTCAAGGGGATACGGATCGATAGTGTAGATGATAGGAGTATCCTTGGAAAGTTGTGACGCACTTGGAATATTGGACCCGTCAATAGTTGATAATCGAGGTGGAGGTGCTGGAATGGCTTTCGCTGGCCGGCAGAAGCAGAGATATTGATTCTGAGAGGTGAAATAGAGTCGTCGAGAGTACACTTTCCCCAACCGCTGGTGTCTTCCTTTCTGTGATGTAAGCAAAATTAAGAACCCTTCAACTGGGGACGGTTCTTCTGTTGTTTCTTCTCCTGTGCGCTTTATGCTCGTGGGGTAATGCCGCTTGGGCTGTAGTTCGAGCTCATGGGATGTCTGCATCGCAATTGTTCCATACATTCGTTCTTCATTTGCTCCATGCACCCACTCCAACCTATCGTACCTTCGCCAAGCCAAACCCATTTTTTCGGAGCCTGGCCATGCTTTGAGCAGAGAAGCCCACTCAGGACATTCTGATAATGTATTCATGCAGGTTTTAATTACCCCAGCTGCAACTTCCTGTTCATCAGCCACAGTCTTAAGAAGCGCTGAGGATCTCTCATCATCATCTTGGCCGATATGGCTGCGATCATTTTCTAAGCGAGAAAATGGGTTATTGATGAGAACGGCAATATCAAGGTCGGGGACATGAACTACCAGTTGAGTGGGACGCTCCCATCCAAGGGTTGTGCGAAGAAATGTGTACCACTCCATTGAATGAGCCGCTGATTTCGTTCGTATGATGTACATCACAGTCCCGTATTCATCAGGGTGCCAAAGCACGATTGATTTATCAAGGGACGAAAACAGGTTGAGTTTCGTAAATCCAAAGGTGAGGGGAATCTCATGGGATGAACTCTTCTTCACCTGGGAGACTTGCACCTGAGGGATCACTCTAGTTTTGTAGAGCTGCAAGGTGATAGGAGTCTCTTCATCAGCTCTCCGGCGACACACAACAAGGAACTCCCTCCATTTTTCGAAAGTTCGGGTTTCTATTTTGATGCTATTGTTTTCACTGAAATCATGAGGAAGTGAATGAAGTTTTGTGACATCAATTCGAACCAGCATTCGTTCTGCTCTAATGATTTCACCATCGCGGGCGTGTGATAATCTTCGACGTCGGTCTTTGAGCACCTCTCGAGGCCGCAATTTTCTAAATGACATGGGTTGTCGCGTGTCGGCAGTGGTCCCATCATGCTGGAATCTAAAAATTCCCGAAGCTATACGACTTAACATCCGGTGGTCGCTTGGGCACTGATTCATGTCTCCCACTCCGGTGGGAACAGTATCAATGTGAGATAATTGCGCTTGGAGACGCCTTGAAGACCCCCTTGATATTAGTTTTGCTGAAGTTGGCTGTTTATGGGATATTAAGGACTGAGTAGAGTCTGTTCGATCCAGGGGTGAGGATTCAGATGTCGAGGGTGAAGAAGCCTCTTCACTTGGTTGACTGGGGCCTTGGCTGGGGACTGGATCATCGACCTGCTCAGATCGACGAAGAACGATCTGGTTCGCATTTGATGACTCGGACTGCCGACTTCGCATGTCAGTGGGCGAAAGAAGCCTAAACCCACTCGTCTCCCGTAACGATTCATGCGGAGTAAAATATTCCTCTACATTCCCATGATCTGTTGAAGATGTCCTCACGATCGGACCTGACTGACCTGAGGGGGTAGTCTTGTGATCCGAGCTCGCTCGTTGCTCGTTTTCAATATCTATTCGCGGAGTGGGGTTCTTCTGCTGCTGGCCCTCCTGATGGTCCTGGCCTTGGTCGATTGGAACCGGTGCTACTTGTGATGCATCAAGAGGGGCCACAGGCGTGGTTTCGACCGGCTCGTCATCACATACGTCTTCTGGTTGAGGGAAACTCTGCTTCTGAATAACTCTATTTGAAACACTAAGAAAGCTAGTCAATTGACGTTGCTTTGCACGATTTGACGATGTGTCTACAGAGAAGGTTACCGCCCGCGACGAGTAATTCTTCAACCCCAACCATTTTTTATACCATGTTTTACGGTGGGGCTGTAACCAGCTGTAAGGTATTGGGCCAATAAATGTTCGTCGACTCGTGATATGAAGGTGTTTGTGAGAGGAATGTCGCTGGAGACAGACATAGAGATTAAGCATATATTATTTCTTGCCACGAGACTGCTTGGTCAAGACGGGCAACTCACCAGTCTCTGTGATGTGTATGAATCAGGACCCAACCCGAAATGTCCGTCGTCGGTACCAGCGCCTGATTGAGTTGGAGACGGCAGGTTGGAGCCCTGGGGATTACTCATATTGGGACTCTTCTTGGGTTCTGCAGAACTATCACTGTAGTGGAATGAAATAGCAAGGAAACAAAGGTAAACACGGAAAACGTGCCATCAAAGCAAAGCCTCCAGGGCAGCATAACAGCAGGCTTCTACGTGGCGAACGAACACTCTACATACCGGACTCCGTGAGGATGAAGTTGGACAAGGAGTTGGCCGGAGGTAGTGAATTTGAAGTTGGCGTTGAACGTCAAAAGTTTTTGCGTAGAACTGCGCAAAACAGAGCCGCCTATGACGTCGGCTTCTACCGTGCCTGTTTGTACTGTTTGTAGGGTTTGCATTGTTTGCATTGTTTGCAGAGTCTGCCGCCATTTTTGCTATATTTGCACCCAGGAAACTTGCCCACTTAAAGTAGCGACTTGTCCTTCGGCCGAAACATCAAACGCTTCTAAGCGTTCATCTGACATATCTCTAGATATATTGCTCTACAGAACTTGCTTTTAATGAGATTGTCCTGTTTATTTTGATAGATATACCCCTATAGAATCTATCTATATCTCCATGGCTAGCACCCAAGTTATTCCCCAAGGAGGCACCTGGTTCGATACTCTCAACAGGGGCTTTTACAACGTACGTATCACCGACGACAACGCCATCTCAACCACCGAATTCCTCGAAGCCGCTGAGTCTCTAACAACGCTCTTTGGTATATCTCCCACTTATATGCAATAGGTGCTCTTTTTGCTGTGTGAAGGCTAATTCATGTTAATTTCTGTTAGATCTTCTGGGATCTGTCGCTTTTACCCCCGTCAAGAATGACCTCTTGGGCAATATCAAGGTAACCAACCATACCACCTCATCGCTCCCATTTTCACTATATAATTGGCACTAATTGCAGAATCCCTTCTTAGAAAATCAGAGATAGACAACTTGCAGCACCAGCAGAATCTGAGACTCTCCAAGAGCTGGTGCTCAATGAACTAAAAGCAAAGAAGAACACCGCCACCGTTGGCCTGCTGTGGCTAGTGCGGTACGTCGATCACTGCATTTTTTAAACACTTTGAACTATTACCTCCACTACAAGGCTCAAAGGCGCCCGGAAAGACAATTGATACCCTAGTTAACAAAAAGATAGGGGACTCGACTTCACCGCCCAAGCTCTCCGCCACAACATCTCGAATCCCGCAGACGAACTCTCCGCCTCGTTCCGTGTAGCCTACGGTAAGACCCTCAAACCATATCACAATTTCCTCATAAAACCCATTTTTACGGCTGCCATGGGGGCAACCCCTTACCGCAAGGATTTCTACGCGAAACTGGGTGATGATTCCGTCAAGTCCCAGGCTGCTCTGGAGCTGTCTACCACTTCCTTGGAGAAAATAGTTTCAATTCTCAAGGAGTTCCTGGAGACACCAGAGGTGAAGAAAGCGGCCTCATAGTTTACGGATATAGATGAATAGCTCTTTCCTTTCTTTTTCGCTTGGTACTATTTTCGTACTCGACCTTTTATATCATTTTTGAGATGTGAATAACGATAAATTCTCCTTTATTAGCCACACCAAGCAACCGTGACTTGTCATAATGTATGTTTAATTGCCCAGGTATATATATACATACATATCAATTGATTTTATGAATTTAGATGCCTATATATATTTTTATCTCTCAATGTATGGTGCCATCCAACATAATTCACTTGGGAGTAGATCTTGTATCAATAGCTACGCTTGCCACAATATCAAATCGCCATGACCCAGTTTCCCAGGGTGTTCATGGACACACATACACAGTGAATAATATCGTCTTATAGCCCTGAAAACGTATGTGCTAGGAAGAAAGATAGTGGTAACATGAAACAAGAAATAGGAGAACAAAACAAATCCATGAATCTCACATAAAAGGTCATGCCAAAAGACTTTCCTCTCTCAATATTATTGGGAGGAGATAAGAAGGATAGAGATATCTATATATACCTATTTTCCCTGTCTAAATTTGAGCAGAGAAAAAAAGCAAAAACGGGAAAAAAGGGAAAGATTCAATTAGAAACCAAGACATCGTACAGGATACCATACCATTAGACTCGCATCACTTTGAGAATTTTATATAAGAACCAAAAAAGGCGGCGGGGAAAGGGAGAGGGAAAATGAGAAGGAAAGCAAAAAAATAAGATTAGATAACTCCTCCCCATACCTTCAAACATCTATCTAAACACCATCTCTATAATCAAATCAAGATTTACTCGCCTTTTCCCTCTCCCTTTCCTCCTCCTCCTCCTCCTCCTCCAGCCTCTTCCTCTCCTCTTCCCTAGCCAACTGATCCGGTCTCCGCACCGCAATATCCTTCGGCCTATAATCACTAAAGTTCCTCTTCAAAACATTCTCAACAAGCCAGCAGCCAACATAATCTATCAGCATCAGTCCCGTCAGCGTAAATTTGAATTCAGTGGTGAAAGGAACCAGGCGGAGCTTCTCGTTGAGTTCTGGGATGAATTCTGTCGCGCAGGAGAAGGCGACGCCTGAGGTGAGGATGAGACCCCAGTACATGCCGCGGTTTTCGCGGATAGATTCGCGGAAGGGACGGCCTTGGTAGTTTATGGAGAAGGTGGAGATTTGTTGGATTAGTTGGAGGAGGTAGATGGCGCTGTTGAGGAGGGACGGCTCGAATTCGCCCTCTAAGTCGATAACTTCCTTTTTCCTGTTGGATGAAACCGGGGACGGGTTAGTTGGGTTCAAAACTTGTAAGTCTATGTTTCAAGGTAATCAAGGATGAGGTGAACTTACGGCTCTATTGAGTAGACGTAGTTCGAAAGATATATCAGTGTTGCGACGTGGATGGCAAATTGGCCAAGGACGGATCCCATAATGTACATGTTGAAAATGTTCGGTTGTGGCCGTTCTTTGGAGAGGCCTTCGACAGACTATTTCAATGACGTGTAAGTAAGAACTCCGTCTATAGAAAAGGCGGAAACAGCGATCCTTGGGGAAAACATACCTTCGCACGAGAGATTGACAAAAAGCACACACTCATGAGAATGCCACTGATGGTAGCCTGTCCATCACCAAATCGAATACCATCAAGATAAATGACGCTCAAACTGTATGCGCTGATCAAGCAATTTAGAGCCAGGATCTTGTACATCTGGATAGTTGCAACCAATGTGCATCGACCTTGGCGGATAATATTCGGGATTGCGATCACGTTTGCAAGCTTGCTAGTGAAAGGCGCGGCAACTGAAGCATCGCCCAATTTGATGGTTGGAGGCTCACTGTCGTCTAACTCTTGCTCCATCATTGAGGCTGTAAGTTTATCAGCGAGACCCGCCGCGGCAATTGACGCCTGGTGCTTCTGTAGCTGCTGGGGTGTTAAGTTTGCGGTGGACACTTGTATCGCTTGCGCCCCTGGGGTGGTGATAGTCGCGATTCCGTTTTCTTGACCTGGTTGACCTGCAGTGGCGGCAGTAATTCCCTTCCTTTGTGCTTCACGGAGCATTGCCTTTTCGTAGTGTGGATTGTTTGGTCCCGGAGGATACAGATGAGCAATAGCCACTGGTACCGGAGGAGCTGGTTGGTTAAATCTAGACATCAACCCAACTTGTTTCTCGTACACTTCCTTCATTTTTGTATTCCTGAAATGCTCCGCGATTTTGTTCAGATCATCTTGAGAGCCGTTCAATAGAGCGACACCGACATGAGCTTGTTTGAGCGCACCAACGTCGTTGGTACCATCACCACACATAAGAGTCGTGTATCCAGCATCCTTCATGCCTAGTAGAATATCTTCCTTCTGTTTCGGAGAAACACGAGCGTATACCCAAGTATGTCTGAGTAGATCAGTGAGGGCCTTTTGGTTTTTGAACTTGGACAACGCATAGCCTGTAACACAAAGATCTTTGGTTTTCAGAATTGTACTGTCCAAAGGTTTGCTGGGGTCAACATCAACACTAAAACCATCGTCGATAGTTCGCCAGACAAGTTTTGTGCCAGAACTGTCGTTCTCCGGTGCGTCAAGAATTAGAACTTCCCTATCAACAATTTCTACTTGGCGAGCAACATGAGCTGCTGTGAGGGGGTTATCGCCGGTGATCATTACCACACGATGGCTGCTTTCATTCAGCATCCGAAGTGCATTTATGGCATCATCTTTCAATGGACATTGCAACACGAGGAATCCAGCAAAATGTAGGTCAGATTCCACATCTTCTCTTTTCAGATTGTTAATTCGCCCTTGGCCAAGCTCTGACTCGGTTGAGAGGTACTTGTATCCAAGAGCGAGAACTCGGGCGCCGTTACGAGTGAAGTACTTGAACGTCTCTTCATAGTGGGGAGGGGTAGAAACAAGCATGGTTCTGATTGTTTCAGGGGCGCCTTTGACACCAACAAACGTTCCCTTTAGTTTTTTCGAAGTCTGTCGATCGGTGCTTACAACGGTCGCAATGGCACTCTGGCGCTTTAGAGCGGAAGAAAACTGGAATCGTCGTTTGATCTGAACGGAATCGAGAGCCCGACCTGGTTGACGTGATGACCCGGAAGCCTTGCTTGTCAATATATCATCATGACCAAGGACCCATCCAAGAGCAGTCAAGGTTGCCTTTTCCATAGGATCGCCAACAATATCACCTTCATCCAATTTTACGAGGGCATGGGCTGTGGCGAGGACAAGGGTAGTTTCATTCGCGACTTTTTCGACGGGAATAATATCAGTGTGGGCTCCATGCTTGTCGACCTTTGCGCCAGCGTGGCCCAAGGAAAGCCCTGCAATTCCATCAACCAATAGATCCTCACCCGTTAGAGTGCCTGTTTTATCAAAGCATGCAATATCAATTCGTCCAGCGTAGGGGATTCTGAAAGGCTCGGTACAGAAAATGGCAAACCGGCTGAGAGCAGCAAGACTGGTGTTAACAGCCAAGCTCAGCTCCATTGGCAGTTCAGGAGGAACAACGCTAGTGATAATCAAGACACAGTCCAATAGGAGCTTGGATCGTTTTCGATCCTTTGCCACACCTTCCAGCCAGACATACCAAGAAGCGGCGATGGCGAATATTAAGAGGAACAAAATGAAGAGTAGAGCTTCAACATTGTTGGCTGAAACACGTTCCGTAGAGTAGATCATGGTGCGAACCAGACTGCCTTGACTGGTCTCAAAGCCAGTTTTCACAACGACACCAACGGCACCATCGTCGGGAGGGGGGGAAATACCATTGGGAAGAGAATCTCCAGAGTTGGGATGCGTAATCTGCAACACCTTGGTGCCGCCATATAAGAACGAGTTTTTATCCAGGCCTTCCGGATCAATTTGATCATCACCAGGTCGAAGTTGGATAGAATCTTTGAGGAGAGGGGTGCTTTCGCCAGAAAGCATAGCTTCGTTAACGATCACGCTGCCCTCGATCATGAGAACATCGCATGCGACACCGCTGTCTTCCTTTGTCCGATTGACTGACAGAACATCTCCGGGGAGTAATTTATCACTCGTAATCTCAGTCCAAGCATTTTTTCGATAAACCCAAACGTCATATGGTTTTATGCTCATCCCTCGGAATTCATTCAAGGTTCTTTGCCGTTGCCATACCACCGTGCTCTCGAAAGCTACCAGCATAAAAAGGGTGAATAGTGAATAATACCAATATTCATCCAACAGCCAGAGACCAACGCAGAAGACTTGAAACACGAAAAAGGGCGCCACGGCGTGTTCCTTGAACAGTTCGGTAAAGGTAGGCACGGGAATGTCAAATGTATTCTCTCCATAGTGGTTCTGAATTTCTTCAACTTCCCTATCCGTCTGCAATCCCCGGCTCTGCTGGAAAGTCTTTAGGAGAGGTTTCGGTTCTGCGTCAATCGCGTACGAGAGTGGTGCAAAGCACTTTCTCTCCGGAGAGTATAGAAACCGGCGCTTCTGGAAAAGAAAAGAGATATTATCCTTTCCGCCGTATTTTTCTCGAAATAGAGGGCAAATTTCAGCAGTCCCGGCGTTAACAACAGGCATAACCTTGATCAGCTTGGCCGAATGGGCCGATTTTGCCTTGCTCGTCGTGAATAGAGCATCGATGCTAACGTTCCACTTTGTCGAAAGCCATACTAGAGCCTGTAGGGTTAATATGGTTCCTGCCCAGACGAAGGTCCATTCTGATCCCTGGATGTAGGTGTCATATCGTTCGGGAGAGAGATACACGGCAAAGAAGACAGGCCAAATGATCAGAAACGGCCAAACGTAGGCATGGAGCTGAAGCGGAAGAGGATTATGTAGCGAGGCTGATCGTATCTGGGAGTTGTCGACAAGGCGCGGCCTTCGCAAAATTTTAAAATAAAATAAAATATCAGCCTTATTCTATTGTAACGGCGTTGTCATATATGGCCGCACACACTTACATTATGTTGCCGGAGAGAGCGCTGGAGGAGCGCAATCAGGAGAATAAAGTTAGTATACGAAGCCCAACTCCCATGAGGAGCATATATATCAAAGGGGCAGCTATACAACAAAAACGATCGGAACACAAGGCTCACAGAAATGCCACCTCTGGGGTTGATTGAAGCTGTGGCTGTTGTGTATCTTGAACGCCTCGAAAATGATTTCTGCGCAGGTGGTCTTTCCAGGGCTTATGTCATCAATTAATTGATATTAACTAGTTACGTTACGGTTTCCGTACTAGTTTCCATCCTTTTTCACTTCCAGCCGCCATTCGTCTATATATGTATGTATGGATGGATATGCATGTATGCACAACCTGTCCTTGGGACGCGAGATCAAAGACAGACAACTATTTGACAGGCAGTTTATGGATGACTTAGAAAAGTCTATTGCCGACAATTTACTGAACCTCAATATGTGATGCCTCAAAAATGCCAGATTTGGTCAACAGAATCAACTCGATTGCTTTCAAACTTGCAGTTCCCTTTCTCCTATGCAATGTTTGAACTAGAGCACTCTTCAGACCCGATTACTCCTTTGAAAATCTCTGTCAAAACTTCTTCTGCACCACCCCTGAACCACCAATTCCCCTCATCCAGGCCGCCGACCTTTTCCGCAGAGGTTTTGTCCGGGTTTACTACGCAGACTTTGGCGCCTTTCTTTCTTGTCTCGACAACTAACGATAGAACTGGATGAACCGTAGCAGCAGTTCCAATGAGAAGTACTAAGTCTATTTGATCCTCGCTGTCAACACGGTGCAACCAGTCATCGATCCTGTTAACTTTGGTAGAGGGCATGGCTTCTCCAAACCAGGTCACAGAGGGGCGCAGTAAAGAGGAGCATGCGGGACAGCGGGGAAGCGATTCTTCCGGAACTAGGGGAAGGGGATAATTGGGATCGGAGATCAAGTGAGTGCTGGGGAGGGTGAGGGCAGGGACAATTGGGTCATTTTCGTCCCGGCGAGTGTATGTGCACTTCTCTGAACTGCATTTAAACGTGAAGTAATCACCATGAAGATAGACAGTAGTAGCTTCAGGTTGGCCGGCACGAGGACAGAGACCTGGACTATTTTATTAACGTTAATATTCCGAATATTTGGACATTCATCTGACAAGAATGATGAGAGCAACTCGCCATCAATGTTCTGACACACTGTCAACATTCTATTCCCCATTTTTTTAGCCAACTCTGCAATGGCATAGTGTCCCTTATTGGGTTCTGCCTGCATCATTTCCCTGCGCCTATCACTATAGAACCACCATATCAAGCTTGGATCCTCGCGAAATGCCCCGTATGTGCCTAATCGCCGGACATTGTGTGTTCTCCAATATCCACCCTCATCCACATATGTTCCAATTCCAGAGGCGGCGGATAACCCAGCTCCAAGAACCACAAGGACACGCTCTGATGACTTCAAATGTGCGTTGAATGAGTCATATGAGGCACTATCAATAACGAATTGTTCAGATGGTGCGACACGTGAACGGAGAAGAGCCCTCTGGCGCGCAACATAAGCGCCTTCTATTTGAATCGCCAGAGAACGGTTGATTGCTTGCCTCTGGGTTTGAGCTGAAGGGCTTGTTGAAATAGACATCTTGTAGTGACAGGCAATGGTTAATCCCAAAGGTCGATTGTTACTTTAACTTGGTGAGTCCCTTGAATTACATGCAAATCTGATTCTGCGGGAGAGTTAGGAACAGCTAGCAGATCTGAAAGTAATCAGCCCTGTGGTGGGGGATTTGTATACATTTACACATGTAATAATGGCTAGCAGACTGGTCGACCGCTTCGGGGCTTATTTAACTAGCTAGCTTCGATGGAAGACCAACCATCATTGGGTAGAAGCCCATGCAGTTGCATTGTAAGGCAACATGTTATGATCTCGTCTGCGTGATTGACACGACTTGCAGAGCAAATAGTACCGGATTTAATTAAATAGGGAGACCATCTAATTGGAATACATCCAGGGCCGATTCGAGACCTTTGATAACAGTCCGCAGGAATGCCAGCCACTCCGTATCTTCCAGATGAGGTATGGAGGTTAGTTTTTCAATTTGCGCTGGACAGCGTGCGATTTGAAGGGATGTGTGGGGGTGCGATTGATATGTTCGAAAACGATGATGATCTTCGCATCCTCAGGGCTCTGTTAGACTTAAGGAATGTGTGCAGTAAGTAGTTACAAAAGCTGTTAAATTCTCCTCGAACTTTTCAGGTCTGTGATTTTGCGATTAATAGTATGTGTAAGGGAGATTCGACGTCCATATTCTCAGTGTATTTGTTGAGCGGGTGAGAATGGATACATCGCTGGGTCTCTTTGGCTTCCTACAACTGTATCCGACGTTCATGATTCGCGTAACGTTGGAGTTAGCACTTCGGAACAGTTTTCGGGGATCTTGCGGACTAGTTGATGCCGTTCGCTCGACGGCCGACTACATGGTTACGAACCTGCCCCATGATGACCATCGGAACAAGGATGTACTAAGAGAACATTATATGAAATCTCTCTGCGGTGCGGCCCTTGTACATCTTACAGATTCAAGGATGTCCACGAAACTCTGGTTAAGAAACTGGAACCCGATTCCCGAGATAGCGGCTCGCGACCGTGCTTTAGTCGCAGCATCTCTCGATAACGATACGGAGCTCATAAACCTGCTTTTGGAAAGGGCAGCAAATGTCAACCATGAAGATATCTACTTTGGCAATGCGTTATATACAGCTGTTTTTTTACGGAACACCGAAGCGACATCCCTCCTCTTGGCCAACAAGGCATCCTTACTATACAGCGATATGTCAGGGAAAACGGCGCTGCATATTGCAGCCCAAAAAGGGTACGACGAATGCGTTGAGTTGGTCCTAAATCAAACATCCCGCAACGACGTTGATCGGTTTGACCATATGCGCCGCACCGCGCTGTCCTGGGCGGCAGAGGAAGGGCGTGTGAAGGTCGTCGAACTCTTGTTGAAGGTGGGCAGTGCAGATCCGCAAACTCATGATTCAAGGGGTGTCATGCCGTTGGATTTTGCTGTCGCTGAAGGACATCATGATGTCGTGAAACTTCTTACTTCTTATCGACTGGATAGGAGGCGATTTCCCTGAATTAGCGTTCTCAAGCACACGCACACACACACACACACACTGACGGACACTTACAAGTTGTTATTAATTTACCGAACATACAACGCCGACGGCCCCTGTATCGTGGGCGCTCCTGGCTTGATTGATTATTAACCCGCGCTCCTTAAGTCAGTCCCGCATATTCACCATCTCACCCCTATGCAGGCAATATTAACTACGATAGCGTTCTGCGTGCTTCCCTCATTGCGCCATTGGCCTTAGTATCTTCACATGAAGGGGAACTTGCATGGATCAATCGTCAAGCAGTTCGACTCATGACCTTTGGGTTTGCTTGTTCTCTAGAATAGGGAGCTAGACTTGTCGAAGGGATATGGTCATTCGTGATACAGCCATTGTGGGAGGAGCTGTGGAAGAAAAGGAGAGCTACACAGGGTTTCGGTTTCTTAGACAGTTTTTCTTTAATTTCTTCGTTCTGAGGGTTCCTCAGCATTTTCTATCATTTAGGGAATTTTCTGGGACTGGATAATGACTGAAAGGATTTTTATTTCGTGGCTAAAGAATACGGTAAATTTATGTTTATGTTGATACAGTTCCGTTTTGTTTGGTGCATGTTTTCCTGCCCAGAACCTTTTAACTAGTTACTACTACTTGAAACCAACCTAATAATTAAATATACATTTCATGCGCCAGCCCTTTTTCTATCTTTTTACCTTTCAACAAAACAAGAAAGTTTAGACCTGGCTATTTTTTATTTCTTAGTCCATCGCAATCCCCATACTGCTGTGGGCGCTTAAGCGTGGGGACCGTGATATACGGTTTTAGCTGATCTCCGCCGCCAAGCCCAAGTTGTCCCGCCGGTCTCCAAACGCTGAACTTTTGGCCTTTCGCCCCAGTCTCGTTGAAACCCTCCGCGCGGGATACCTTCATGGTCCCTTTAACCCACCCAACGCACTACCCGTGAGCCTCCCTCATTTCGCAAAGATCATGCCAAAGAGGATTCTGGGAGGAGGCCGAGTGTTGGGAAGCGGAAGGTCTCTAACTCCTACTGCCCCCACACCCTCTCCGCACAGGCAGTCCCGCATCCTCTCCCCGACATCCAGCAGCGTTTCCCTCAATTCCCAGGGCTCCACCTCTCAATTCTCAGCAGATACGCAGGATATAGTGTCCCGAATATCGCTGGGAAATGGCGATTCATCTTCATCTCGGGCTTCCATGGCGGCAGGAAGTTCCCGTCTCGCTTGCCCCATTTGCAACGAGGAGATGGTGAGTTTATGTCGCATTTTCTGCGCTTCATAACTCCTTTGTATATGTTTATCTTGTGCTATATCGTATATCGAAAGGCCCATGATGATGATGCTAACTAGCTTCTCCCAGCTTACATTGCTGCAACTTAACAGGTAATACTGCTGCTCCCTTCGATCACATGTTTGGTGTTTTTCCCTGACGTCAGGAGCTAGACACCTTGACGATACACACCCCAATCTCGAGGACGACCGGCAGATTGAAGTGAAGGACTGGTTCCAGATACAGGTCGAAAAGGCAAAACGATTTCAGCCGCTGGCTGTTCTGAATCAAAAGCTTAAGGGCCTCGATGTCTTCGAATCCAACAACCATACCCCGCTCTCCGTTTCCACGCCCAGCCGCACTCCTTCAGGTCAGATAGCTTCTGAGCCACTAAAGATAGTGGATCCGGATGAAGTGGTTACAAGAGAGCATTGGCAACCGCGTGGTTTGTATGATGTTTGTTTGGAACCGCTATGCCAGAAGAGACTTTCCGTTACTTCCGGCAGCGTGAACTGCCGCAAATGCGGGAAACTCTTTTGCGAGGAGCATACTATGTATCAGATGAAACTCTCTAGATCCGCACAACATGAACCTGTTCGTGGATATTGGTGTAGGGTATGTGAGACTTGTTACAAGTCGAGGGAGGGATACAATGACCATAATGGTAGGCCATGTCCCGTTTATGAAGTAAAATTGACTGCTTTTTCTAAAGGTATTAAATAGGCCAGAAACGCGATCACACCTCAGAATTCACCAAAATACGTAGACAGAAGGTGGACAAGGCATTCCTGGAAGTCTCGCGACTGGAAAAGCGCCTCACTCGGCTGACCCAGTTACTATCTACTCTTCCCCCGGACCAGATTCAACCAGGGGCCAATAAACTATGGTCAATAGCATGGCAGAATGATCAGAGGAAGAAGCTCGAACAATCTGTTGTGAGCTGGGAAGACGATGCTAGTGTGTCAAGATGCCCATTTTGCCAGCAAGATTTTTCGAGTTACACGTTCCGGAGACATCATTGTCGAACCTGTGGGAGGGTCGTCTGTGGTGATCCCGTAACAGGATGCTCTTTGGAAATAGGTTTAGACATTGCTACCAGTATGTTTCTATGCACGGTCGATTGTTGGATCATGCTAATCCTTTGGAAGACTCCCAAGTGTCCGAAAAGCCTACGACTGCCAGCGAAACACTCAGCATCGACATTCGTCTTTGCAAGGAGTGTAAGTCAACTATATTTGACCGAAGAGAAGTCTCACAAGACCTCCTCAAAGTACCCCCAGATCTTCGGGTATATAGGAATCTTGCACAGTTTGAGAAAGGCATTCGTTTGCTATTACCCAGATTTCAAAAACTGCTTTCCGCTTTACAGTTAGTTTAACCTGCTGCCTTATATCCTTTACAAGCTTCAACGTTAACATCCTTCACCCAGAGATCCAGAGAACCCTCCTTCCCCGACCCAACTTACCGATGCCGCCAAAGTCCGTAGACGCCTCATGGATTCCTTTGCTCAATACGACATCGCCGCTAGACGAATTCGTGACCTCCCAACATCATCTCCAACACAATCCAAGCTCCAAAAAGCTATATACCACCAAGCCACGAATTTCCTGCACCTCCATATGCTTCCCCTAAAATCACTGCCCAAGGTCTTAAAACACGCCACTCCCCACGGCACTAGATTCCCCATCAATGATAACACCGCAAATGGCACCAAGAACGCTCTCGCCACAATAAAATATGGCAACCATGAGAACGCAGGTAGCGCTACCAGTCTAGCTAGCGACAACAGCAGCGCCATCTCCGCCCTGGAAACTGAAGAAAAATCCCTCCGTGAGCGTCTCATCGTGCTCGAAGAGCAGAAATTTTTCGTCAATGAAATGGTGGCAGATGCCAACCGCAGACGCAAATTCGATGAGGCTAGCAGCCTGGCCCAAAATGCTGAGGATCTCAATAAGGAGATTGATCGTGTTAGTGGGATGATCGGCCAGCTAGATTTTGAGGGATTGTATGTCAACAAGCTTGGGTGACAGGATTCTTATGGAAGGAAGCTTCCTTGCTACCTCTGCATCACTACGCCACACCTTCAACAGTATATCGTGAGAATCCATGATTTTTTCTCCTTCTAAAGGTTAATGATTCGAATTGCACTATATGAAATTTCCACATTGTCTGCAACACTCACAAACAATAAGCAACGCACTACACCACCACCATTATATCATACTCCATCCCACCTCCGTCGATCGACAAATTGATCGATTGGTTCCCAGCCTTGTTTTTTTCCCATTATTTATTAGTTTTCGCATTCCTCAAATTGACGACGCGATGTTATGCGATGGCATGTCATGTCTTCTGTATTAAGTTTTATTTCTGGTGCACATTGCCAGTGGACTCGGAGCGATATCTTGCCCGCTTAGCCTTCTTCATGTACTTTTTACCCACATATATGCATTTCCTGTCTGTTTTAACTTCGTTTATTTTAAGCTTTGGAAATAGATAGGGAGGATTTCTCTTTCACCTTTGGATAGGGGGCTGGCTAGCTATTGACTTAATTTGTTTCCCATTTCTTGTTTTAGAGATAGGTGGGTTACAGCCTGTCATTGTTTAGCTATTATCAGTGCTGCCTACAAGTGCAATTTTGTATGTCCTAAACATACAGCCATATTTTTCATAATAGAGTATGTAATATGCAAGTTCGGTAATGCTTCTATGAGATCAAGTTAGCAGTCTGTAGAAGAGGAAGGGTTTGTCTTTGTGGTTGGTGGGCGTTCATAGGCAGTAAATACTAGCTCAGCAGTTTGGGAGCCCGGTATAAAACTCAATAAAAGATCCTTTGGAAATAAACGCGCCCGGGAAACAACCGAAAATCGCATATCCAGACTCGACCAGACTTTGAGTCAGTACGAAATGGAAATCGGCATAATATGGTCATGCAGTCATTCGATGATGGGAAGCCATGCCAGATACATACGAAGCTGGGTTAGGTAAGGGTGTGCGGACTTGAAACGAGCAACGAAGGAATCAAAGCCATAAATCTTGCCCAGGTCCCCCGAAAAGACAAAAAGAAAAGAAGAAGAAAATAGGCTAGCTTGTCACCATCTGGTCAAATCATGCCGCCTCCTTGCCCTACCCCTGGCCGTCCCCATCCCCCTCCCCGTTGATGTCTTCCAATCGCTCCGCATTTCCGCTTCCGCTTCCGCTTCCATCTCCACTCCCTTCATCCCCTGCCTCATGAACCCCGTTAACCACCGCCACTCCGCTTCCACCTCCACTCGATCCTCTGCCAGATTCCACCTCCTCCTTCAACTTCTTCGTCAACTCCATCAGCTCCACAACCTGCCCCTTCAACTCCCTAACCTCCAAGACACACGGGTCAACCTCAACATTCGGCTTAGTCTTCGCAACTTTCAAATCCCAACTGTCCGCCCCGAAGTCAATGTTGAGATCCTGCGCAGCTGCTTGCCACTCCTCAAGTACATCGTCGTCTTCTTCACCCAGGCGGCGGTTGAGGCGGATACGGCGCGCGTTCAGGGTCTCGATGAACGCAGTGATGAAGAGAAGTGGAGAGTAGATAACGCCCATTACGTAATGGTTTAGGCGCTCGTATTTATCGGTGGAGAGCCACCATTCGAAGGGGAGAATGAGAAGGAAGATTTCAATCAGATTGAAGGCTGTTGTTGAGAGATTGGTTAGCAGGGTGCGACAACCGTAGGATTATGGGGGGAGGAGAGAAAGCATACGAGCAATGAAAACGTTTTCGTCAGGGGCTCGCACGAATTGCATAGTTCTATGAGCGAACAGGGCCATGTACTCGTCTGTGGCATTGCCGGTGATATCTTCGTAGGCGCTGTTGTAGAGCGCGATGAGGATGTTCAGGAGGACTGGAGTTATAGTCAGAATGTGTTTGTATATAGAAAGACGAGTAGATATAAAACGGTGTCACCTACTAACCATCACCACGAAGGTGAAGAGGTAATAGAGTAGAATGCCAAAGGGTGCGGAAAACTCTTGAAAGACACTGAAATCCGGACTCTGCATGATGGTGTTTGCCATGCCCTGGAGAATAACGGAGGGCGTCATTGCATTGCCTGGATCAGCTTGATCCATGCCCATGAACCCTTGGAGGAATCCAATGATAACGACAGCCAGCAAGGCAAAAAATATCAAACTCTCCTTCATCATCACCTTGAGGACTACAAGCATGGCACCGAAGAAGCGGTATGTATCTAGGAATAGCAATATACGGCCCCAGAACATCGGGGCGGAAAACGCTAGGAAGTTATAGCTGAGCGCATTAAACTTCATTCTCTTTGCATCATGGCTATATGACGAACGTGTGAGGGCAACGATGCGGAGGATGAAGGAGACAAGGAGAAGGGTATAGAGGGTAGAATTGAACGCGTTCCAGAAGCCAAAGTAAAAGCGTCCTACTTTCCAAAATTTGGCAATTTCATCACATATAAATCCTAATGTCATCAGATAGAGCAATCCTTCTACAATATCGAGGTCACCCGATGGGTTAATTGTGTTGATCACCCCCGTATACAGGGCAAGGTAAAGCAGGGAGAAGAAAATCTGGACAGCATTCTGGTAGATAGGAGCCCTCAGTCTATCTGGGTTGAAATGAGCCCAGTAATGCGTATTGACTCGTTCCGGGTTCTCGATGAACGTGGAAGGGTCTTTGTCGTCCTGGCACAGCCAGCCATGCCAGAGATATTTGATGCATTTCTGATATCCTGAAGACCCGATTACTCGCAACGCATGGAGGTCAACAGCTCGTTCAATGACATTGACCGGAGGAGTATCTTCTCCATCAAGGAAGATCGAGTAGCGCTTCAAGAGCACCTCTTGCATAAGGTAATCCTGGTCTTCCTCAGCCTCGATTCTGTGGAACATTGGTAAGCATATTTTCACCATGCATACTGTACAAATAGTGCGGATCAAACGCACATCCTCTTCGCAAGCACCTCACAGACCACAGCCCTTAACTCATGAAGGTCTGAATCCCACAGCTCGACCCGTGCCTGTAGCTTGAACCATCGGAGACACACCAGCAAGCAGTAGACCACACATGCTTTGTTATATTCGCCCGCAGCCTCGCGGGCAGTCTCAATAACAGCCTTGGTAATAACACTGCTATTTGGCTTTGTCAAAGCCTCTTCTTCAAGCTCGCAAGGAATGACCTGTTCAATCTGGTACTTCAGGCGGAGGGCAACCTTTGTGACCTCTTTAGCCGGCAATGCAGGCGGAATAGCTTCATTGCGTCGCACGGGGAGCACTATTTACCACTTGCTATCAATGTTTGAACATGTGTATATATATTTGAAAGCACACCTGTCACCACACGTATGGCAATTGAGGTTGTTGGAACGGCGCATTACTTACATCTGCGGCTCTCATGGAGCTGGCGATGTCGACGACGATCATCCGAGCTAAACAGGTGTGGCCACCGCACCATTTTGAGCAGTTATCGGAGTGATAGGTTATCTACCTTCGAATAGATTGAGGAATGGAGATGGTTATGGGTGCTGGAGGATGACAGTTGAGGGTATCAAACATGTATCGTCACCCTCAATGAGCAGCCATTGACGTTCCCCTCAACATTCAGGACGGCAGGTTGAAGGTAAATTGAGAAGAGTTGAGTTGGTTGATCATGGCGACGTTGACAAGCTAGTTAACGGCACCAAATTGCGGGGACAGTCTAGTCCTGATTCAAGCCCAAATTGCCCAGATCCCAGTTAAACAGCAATAAGCAAGACGTATTAGAAGACATTTACGAGGTGGAGGCCAGCTAAGCAAGCCACAATGGCAAGCTGCCGCTTGTTATTTGTAGACTCAATTTGCCACTGAGCTTGGTATCGGTCCGCCCATCTCCGTTCCCTCGAGAGATATGAGGAGAGTGATATACGGAGGATATGCGAACCTTCTCTTGTGCGGTGTGCGGTGTGCGGTGTCCACAGAGGCAGTAGGTTTCCGAGCCTTAGACTGCCAGTGTTTTGATGGCGGCAGTTAGAAAACGCACACAAATCTTGGTCGACAGTTCTTTGCGTTTCGACACAAGTCGTTAAATACGAAAATACTGACAAATTGACGCTGTTCTGATATCCTTTTTTTTAAAAAAAAAAGGAAAATGAAAAAAATTCTATCGCTATCTCCTTAAACATTGAAAGACCAGGTCATCATCTCATAGATTCGTGACCGAAAAGGTTTTTGTAGGAGAGAAAAATGGCTGAAGAAAAACTAATATAGCAAAGGCGAAGAGTATAAAGCGAAGAGGGGCAAAAAGCCAGATAATCCTTGGATCACATATCGACGATACCCTCATCGCTCTCGCTCATGTCCTCGTCCCCGCTAACTTCCTGGTTTTCCCGTTCCCTCTTGTCCATCAACGCTTGCAGTTCCGCATCGTCATGTTCGGTGACAGCCTTGGGCGCCATCTTAACCACAAGGGCCCCGTCAGACGCCTGGATTCTATCACTGATGCTCTTGATAGCCTCCTCCAGCACCGCAATTCCATGGTTTTTGTCCAAACAGTGGCTTGTTAGCACATATAGTGGCGGCGACACAAGTTTGACCTTGACCTGCGCATCTTGCGTGTTGTTTGATTCTGCAGTCCTGAGGGCATCCTTAACAGCATCAATGCCTTCATAGCTGAAGCAAGTGACCTCTACGTCCGCACGAACTTTGGTGGGATGGGGTGTAAGCTTTTTGCTGATGTAGCTTTGCAGTTCGTCCTTGACCACCTGGTTAGGGAATGTTACGTCATCCCACACACTTGGGTTTCTGCAGAGTAATTAATCAGTTTCGTTAACCACGCGGATATATGATTTTTGCCTTCTCCCCCCCCCCAAGAAAAAAAAAAACTCATATTGAATGGCGACGCAGAGGCTTACGTACGTGATGGAGAGTTTGAACGCATCGATAGAATGACCAAATTTCTTATTCAGTGGCCAACCAATCTCTGAATAAAGTGTTTCCATAGGGGTCTTTGTTTTCTCCGCTACATGACGCATGATTGAGTGGACTAGTTTGCTCTTGTTGTATCGTTCTTCGCATTTGATGACGTCTTCAGGGGATACTCTTCGTTTAGAAAGATCGATATAGCCTATTCCACCGTACCATGTATTGCATTAGCCTCTGATCCTATGCCTTAAACGGTCGGTCAATATTCACATGCCTTTTTCCTTATCAACACGAAGCACAACCACAACTTCATTTCTACCCACTCGGATAAGCTTTTGTATACTTCGGATACGTCTTCTCGACAGCTCTGAAAGCAAGATCATTCCATCAATATTGTCGTATTCCAAAAGCTTAACGTATGCGCCCATCTCTGCAATCTGTTTGGCGGGTATTGTAGAGATTAGATTGATGATATTTTCATATCCGCATGCCAGACCACCAGTGGCGTGGCTTATTCGGTGAACCGTACCTGCTTCACGTTCACCATCACAAAGCTATCAATCTCCGGAAATTTCTCCTCATAGAAACGGCAATTTGTTAACGACATGGTGGGCGGAGCGTGCCTATCTCAGGCGAGGCGACTGTGGGGGATTGACGGAGGTAAAATAGACCAGCTTTTTCTTTTTCTTTTTCCGTTTTTTTTTGCCCGTCTTGTTTTCCACCGGTTCTAATAAAACGGATGGTGCCAGAATAGAGATATTTGGTTAGAAGGTAAATGCCCTCTTCTGGATATTCTGGATAGAATAGGTGCCACAAATATGGTAATATGAGCTGCTCTCCTGTGTTACAACTGCGGTCTTGTCCTGTTAGAAATTGTCTGAAGTGAGTCTTTTTGAGTTTTTGTGCCTGCAAAAAGAAAGCTCCCAAAAGATTGTCATGTGACTACTGAGTTAGATAAGCTGACGCATCTCCCTCTGATATAGATAGATTATCTCCCGTTTCAAACTCCCGACGAGTGGCATCACGCTGAGGGATGGAACTGCGTTTAGCCATATAACTGACAATGTAGTCTTCTGGATGTGGCGGACTTTGCTCTCTCGACCACCCCCCCGCCCAATAAATCCCACACCAATATCGGGTCCGATTATAAGCTTGTTGCAACCGACTATCTGCCGACTGGTTTAACTACCTCCAGCTATCTTCCTTGTGTCTATTTTATGCTCTCTGCCACCCCGCCAGTTGAGTGACAGGGTATCTTTACTCTACTATTTTATTCTTATAAACCCATGAGCAGGGTCTTCCAAACTGCCCTCCCGAAACATATATTTATTTGGGCTGATTTCCTTTCGGCTAACGGCCCTCCCGCTCCGGGAATCTAAAACCAGAATCGTGGAACCATGCCTGTCTCTGATCCCGTAAAGCCTCAACAGGCGCAATCACTCCGCGATCGAGTGGCTAGCCTCTTCCATCCGCGATCATCCCGCAACGGTTCGCAATCTCCTTCTGCCTTCAGTGCCCACCGGGGAGGCGGGGAGGAAAGCGAAACGCCCACTCCGCCTCCTCCAGGTGAGGTGAATTTCAGAACACGACTTCTAGAATCGTATAACCATTTGGAACCGGCATGCGGGTTTCGTTCTTGTGACCATGGGACATTCTCCCCTCGCCCTGGGTCTTCGTCCGCTCGAGGAGCTAGCCCTGTTCGGAGAAACGGCATTGGTAATTATTATGATAGCCCTCATGAAGGATCAAGTGTACATTCTGTTGATAGGGGCGATGCTATATGTGCTCCACCGAGAGTGCCTCCTAGGGCTACCACGAAGCAATTGGCCAAACAGCATGGAGTGAAAAATCACAGGACTATGTGCGTAACCTCTTCCAAATTTAAACAATCATGTGAAATTGCAGCACTCCGGTGGTTGTAGAACTATTGTTAGCTCCCGCTAATCGATCCCCTATTTCTCTAGGTATATCTCATATTATGTGCCATTCTTCATTTGGATAACCCAGTATCGTTGGTCTTTGCTCAAGGGCGATCTGACGGCAGCAATTACCGTGGCCTCGATATATATCCCAATGGCGCTGTCTCTTGCATCCAACGTTGCGCAAGCTCCTGCTATAAATGGGCTTTATGGATTTGTGTTTAGTCCCTTTGCCTATGCGATTCTTGGGAGTAGCCCAACCATGGTGATTGGGCCAGAAGCGGCAGGCTCTCTTCTAGTTGGCACGGTTATCCGTGGTGCCATAGATGCGGGCGATTCTACAGATGACAATGCTGTTCTCAATGCTCAGATAATTGGTGTTGTGACAGGGTTAGCAGGAGCCATGGTGCTAATTGCTGGAATCACTCGATTGGGTTTCCTAGATAATATCCTTAGTCGACCGTTCCTTAGAGGATTCATCAGTGCCATTGGCTTCATGATCTTCGTCGATCAGTTGATCCCGCAACTGGGTCTAGCCCCGTTAGCAAAACAGAGTGGTTCAGCGCACGGTAGCAGTGTGGAGAAATTGGGATTTCTATTTCGACATATTAGTTCTACCCACGGTTTAACCTGTGCGGTTGCTTTTGGTAGCTTCGCCATCATCATGATTTTCAGGTACGCTCATTGACCATGAACATATAGGGGCAGGGTGGGGGAACCTCCAATTATTAACTTGACGCTTGTTTCACAGGATATTGAAACGACGCCTAGAACCACGGTTCCCCGCAGTTGTCTTCTTCCCCGACCGATTTCTAGTCGTCTTCCTCTCCACTATCTTGACTTGGCAGCTCCGGTGGGATACAAAGGGTCTGGAAGTCCTTGGCTCCCTGAAGGAAACAGGAAACCCGACATTCGCCTTCCGATGGCCATATAAATGGTCTCACTTGAAACATCTTCCCACCGCAATGAGCACATCTTTTATCATTTCACTGCTTGGATTTTTTGAATCATCAGTCGCTGCCAAGGGTCTTGGTGATGGAAACACAGCTATAAAAAGAATGGCTTTGAGCGCTAATCGCGAGCTCGTCGCCTTGGGAGTAGCCAATGTTATTGGCGGATGCTTCATGGCCCTCCCTGCTTTCGGAGGATACGGGCGAAGCAAGCTCAATGCGGCAACGGGCGCAAAATCCCCTATGAGTAGTATATTTCTCTGCCTTATAACTTTGCTCTGTATCCTGTTTATGCTGCCTTATTTTTACTACCTTCCCGTACGTCAGCCTCCTTATTCCACCAACAACGAAATCCAAAATAAGAAGCACCAAACAGTTCTCGATGCTAACACCGAATTAACTACAGATGGCAGTTCTCTCCTCCATGATCTCCGTCGTCGCCATCTCCCTCATCGAAGAAGCACCTCACGACCTTCGATTCTTCTTCAACATCGGTGGTTGGTCTGAACTGAGCCTGATACTCATAATCTTCTTCGCAACAATCTTCTACTCACTCTACCTCGGCATCGCCCTCGGCATAGGTCTCTCTATCCTGCAAATAATCCGCCACGCAACGAAGCCCCGTATTCAGATCCTCGGGAAAGTAAACGGCACCCACGACCGCTTCGAGAACGCCGAGATCCAGCCCGAAAAAGTCGAATTCATCGAGGGTTGCCTAATCGTCAAGATTCCCGAGCCACTTACTTTCGCGAACACGGGTGATTTGAAGAACAGACTCCGTCGCTTGGAGTTCTATGGTACAACCGCTGCACACCCGGCATTACCGCGCGTGCGTGCTCCTGAACATAACAGAAATATGATCTTTGATATTCACGGTGTCACGAGCATTGATGGCTCAGGGATCCAGGTGCTTAGTGAGATTGTGCAGGGATACGTTGACCAGGGGGTACGGGTGTTTTTCTGCCGGTATCCGCGTCCCGGGACAGCGATATTTCGTATGATGGAGAAGAGCGGGATCGTGGAGGCTGCGGGGGGCATGAAACACTTTACCCGCAGTGTTGATGAGGCTTTGCGTTTGGCGGAGAGATCAGATTTGGATGAACCGTGACTGACATGATACATGGTTTCCGCAAGATTACATTTTTGGAGAATCTGAAACTTATACGGATAGATCGATATGATTGGGGGGGTGATGATATATATATATATATTTTTTTTAAAGAAAATTTTCTATTCGCTTTGATTGGTTTGGTTCATCCCTGGCAAAGCGTAACCCTTTGATGATGTTTGACTGGCTTTTGCTCGGAAGTTTCGATCCTTGCATTGCCCCAAAGGGATCTTTCTATGCGATTTGCACCAATCAAGCACATTGGTATTTATGATTGTCTATAATTGTTTGACGAGATACTATGATACTTGGCTTATTTGTTTTCTGCTTACTCCCTTTAATACCTAGAGATTTAGTTTTACTTTTTCACTTTCTTTTCAGAAGTATTATTATTAGATGTACAATCACGTTCTGCACCTTTGCCCACGCCAAATACAATACAAAGCTGTCTCCATTTTTATCACATAAAGTATGAGATATATCACCATCAACAGCTATTTCCAGTTTCCCCCAAAGGATCCCTAAAACATGTCTGGCAGGTGAATCGGAAATAGGGAAGCAGGTGATTGGACATTTGCCCAAAATTTTGGACCCTCCCTGATAATTGATGCTCAATGTTCAAGAAACGATCAGCCGGTAAATCAATGGAGAAATAGAAAGCCGTCAAAAATTGGGCCCAATAAACACTCACTGTCCGAAAACAATTCTTTGCAGTTTTCCAGAACAATATTCTCAGGGTCAGGCAAAACTAGATCCGGGGAATATTGTGATTCTTTTGGTGCGTGTATTCTGCTCCATGCCCAACATCGTCAGCCATCTTCAGTATGTATGAACAGAGTGTCTGTTCCAGTTAACAAATAACACTTAGTCTCTCCCATCCCCATTCCCATCTACGGATTCCTCCTAAGGAGATACATACATACCAACCACAACAAAACATCATCAAACCATCTCCGTTTCCAACCCAGCCCTGTACGCCCGTGCCAGGCCTTCTCGAACTTCTTCCGGCAGCCACGGCGTCCACAATCGGCGCAAGCTGCAGATTGATATCACTCCTGAGGCCTTTCAATTCGAGTAGAAGCGGGGCAAGGTATCCAGGTGGGGGGCCATGTGGACGTAGCCATTCCCAGCCAAATTGGATGACAAGCCAGTGCCATATCTGCGTTATGGGAGTCGGTGTAAAGATCAGGACGATGACGAGGAGGATTACGATGGCTTCGAAGATTTCCATTTCTTTTCGTTTGGTTTAATTGAGGTTGAATTGTTAGCTCGTGGGGTTGTTAGGAGTTGGTTGCTGACGACGGGATGATGAGGGTTATCCAAGGTCCACGGATGTGGAGATTTGAGAAGAGGCTGATCCCGCTCTGGAATGCATCACTTAAGAGTAGTCATGATGTTGATGGCTGATTGAATACATGCAGAAGGCGTACTGGGTCAGGCTGGAGCTCTGATGAACAAGCGTATTGGCTCTTTGGATAACTACCCCATATAACATATCAAAACCTGTCCATCCTTCAATCAGGGCGATGGCAGAAACAAATATTCATACCGGTCCCAGAGGAGGTGGGGTTATGGATGCACAGAACAACAGCTCGGCCCCTTTTGCTACGGCATACTAAATGAATATTTTGGACACAAAGTTCCTTCACGACAGTTGATGGCATATTTCTTGTCACAGTGGCTAGGAGTTAAATTGTATACTATGTACATAAAAAGGAGATAGGAAATATTGGCAGCATGCTACTACTATTTCTAATAGATATGTCAGGGATAATTTCGCCGACATGCTTCGTGTTTGATAACTCGTATCTGCTGTGTCGTTTTAGTATATGGGTAAGAGATATTAAACCTATGTAGGTATTTAGTTAACCTCCTAGAAATTTGACTTGGAAGTTAAGCAGTATTATCTATCCGAGTGTCACCGGCAAGAGCTTCAACATGAGATATACCGGTGTCTCTAGCAGGCAAGCCAGGTATGCCTCATACACTTAGAGGATAAACCCGACAAAAAGTCCGCCTCCAACCCTTGATATTTAAGCAATTCATCAACCAGGTTCTCCAGTTAAAGTTTATCTTGGTATCTGGGACAGGTACATGAAGGAATGTTCCAAGGCGGATTCGTTAATAAAGGCAGTGTGATAAATAAGTTTTCTCTATGCTGGATTGGTTAAGAGCATCTAAGTTGATCTCTCGCATCTTGAATCGAACAGCAGTCAGAAGCTTCTGCTTTCTAATCCTTACTCTTTTTCCATAGGGGAGAGTACCATGGAACCGGGAACAGTGGGAGGATGAGAAAATATTAAGAATAAACATAAAACCAGACAAAAAACATACGACAGCCGGGATTCGCTGGTGGTCACCCACCCAACTACTAACCGGCCGGCGAGTGGTTTAAGTACGGCTGAGCGGACGGGAAGCCCTGTTTTCCACTCCCTGTGGTCGTATGTGCTCGTTAGGACGCGTCTTGTAGATATATTCCAAAAGCTCCGATTCTCGATGGTATATATATGAAAATACTGGCTGACATTTCCCAACTGAGAGATACATTTTGAGATGACGACTTCCCGTCACACTTGGCTTTGATAAAAAAAAAAAAGGCAGACGTCCAGAGAATACCAAATCGTCAGAAGATTAAAAGCCATTTTTCTGCAGGCACCAATCCAGAAAGCCAAGGGTAAAAAAGAGTTGTAAAAATAAAGCAAAAGAGAGTCTTCCTGTTTGATGGAATAACCAAAGCGTTGTTCGAGTGAGGCGATTGAGTAGTGTTTGCACTGTTTGTTCATCCGCGATCTTTTGACGTCGCGATCCTAAGCTTCAATTCCTATCGAGACAGCAAAGTTGAGACGGACAACTAGAGGCACGAAGGTTGTCAATTCCCCGGAATGTTCCTGTTTGAAGTAATCCGTTTAGACAAACATGTTAACAAACATATGCTGCTGAATCATAGTCTACGCGATATCTATTGATTGCTGCGCGTCGATGGCAGCAGCATCAGGGGACCAGCTGTTTACCACGTCCTGGACCCTTCACCGCTTATCACCTCTCTACCATGGAAACGAGTGTCAAACCCTCCTAGACAATCCGCAGGGGCTGAACCTCTACGCAAACCGCCTCAGGGACCTTCTCAGAGGCGATGTATTTCGTGGCGTGCAGGTTGGAATGCATGGCCTTGGTGCCGTCGATGACGCCGTATCAAAAGCAGGTTCTTTGAAATCGTGCAAATGGGATGTGCTCCCGACCTGGAACCATTGGAGTGAAGAAGAATCTCTCCTCAAAGATCCTGAACAGGAATCCTATGCCCTCGTGCCAGAAGTCTCAGCGGGCATACTGGTGACCGTTGAATATGAGAATATCACGTATAAATCAGCCATGCTTACCGGCCCGGATGGTTACCACGATACGAGGAAATCTGTCACTTTTCTTCCTTTACTCTTAACCCGTCTTCCAAATTCTCTTCGTCAGATCTTTATTTCATTTCTGGCAACTAGTTTCGACGCGCGCTGTTCAATTCTTCGTCTACCTTCAACTTTTCTTTGCGCTACGTTTGAAAATTACTTATCAATTTTGAATCGTGTTACATCGAGAGCTCATGCATCTTCTTCTCGGGCTTTAGTCGAAAAGGTAATCAAAGAGACGCAACTTACCCTCTCATTCCCGCCGCCAGTTTCTCCCTCATTGAAAAGCTTGGATGTTCTTATCTCCCGCGAGTCTCTGAGCGCATTTTTCGTCCACGGATCCAACGTACTTGCGAACACCCCGAGCGCTCCACCAAATCAAACCCGGAGTAGCGGTGTGAAGCGGGCTCATCCAGACAGCGCCTCCATTGTAGATAATGATGAAGGCCCCTCAGCTCCATTTTTAGCCGGTCTATCTGCATATTTCAACGCCAATCTCGCTATGAAGTTAGACATTAGTGACTTTGGCAAAAACCCAACCGGCGCACAACAAAAGCAGGTTAGGTTGAGCAAAATATCCTGTGGGGCATTTGTCCTTGGCGGTGAAGGGAGGATGAAACTCCTTGCGAATCCCGGGCGGGTTATTCCGTATGATGATGCAGAGGCCACCGAGGAGGAGGACGACCCTGATAGTCGGGAGATCCGTTCGGTTTGGAGAGCAAACGAGATGTTACTACGAGCGTTGGTCTCACACGCTGTGGGTGGACTAACTCAGAGGTAAAATGAAAATTCTACGGGAGGAGAAGGTTCTTGAGATCCAAGACATTTCTCTGCAAAATCTCGTATTCTTCCTTGTACCGTGGGAAACCGATGCAGTTCAAACGCAAGGATTTTGCCTTTTCTGTTATGAGGCTGGAATCCAAAGAGTATTCAGATTCGTCAAAGTCCGGGCCATGGCAGACATATCTTGTCGCCACCCGCTACGAAAGTGGACAGAGAACAGCAGACAGCACAATTTCTAATGTGATGGGTGGGCTCCACTCATTCTCATCTTCCTTCTGACAGAAGAAATTATACAACAGTATTGAGAAGGGGCTGCATGTTCTTCACTACGGATCTGGACTGCACATAATTTTCCCTGACCGGCGTATGCCATCAAAGTCATCCATTCATGGAAATATTTTTCTCCTTCTCATACAATTCCCCCCCCCCCCCCCCCCCCGCGCGAAATGGAATACAAACCCCTCGCATTCAAAGTGCTGGGCATCACAGAAAACATACAAATATCCCTTTAACTATTGTCGTCTATCGGAAAACAGAAAGAAGGCGAAAGGGCTCATCTGCAGTATCCCAATCTTCAAAAAACAGAGGAAGAGTTCAAAAGAAGAAAAGAAGCCTAGACCGATCCACCCCTCCCCTTCTTAGCCATAACGAAAACCTCACCTTTCCTCCCCTGCACCTCTGCCCCCATTACGCGTCGATAATACCCCTCCGCCCTCTCGCCAACAGTCACAAGCATGAATCTCCTAAAACTATCGCCCCTGCTATCCACCCACTCCGTGACGCACTGCAGCAACCACGAGCCCAAGCCTGCCCCCTGGTGTTCGGGAAGGATGTAGACGTCGGTTAAATAGGCGAAGGTGGTGTTGTCGGTGATTATTCGCGCAAGGCCTATTTGGGTGAGGTTTGTGGTGTTGGTGTTGGTGTTGGTGTTAGGAGTTGAAGAAGAATTAGGGCTAAAGTTTGACGGTGACATCGTCGTGCCAATGCCATTGGGTTTGGGGATGTTATATTTATATAACCCAAAACATAACGAATGGTCTACCATCTCTTTCAATACGGGTTCTGAGAGCGGTTTGGCCCAGTACATGTATTCTTGGGCAAAGGCGGTGTTTATGGCAGAGAAGGAGTGGAGGGTGGGATCTGTGGAGATTATGTATTCCTTTGTGGCAGTTTCATTGTTGGGATTGTGGTTTCTGCTGAAGATGCACTTGGTTTGGATGGACCTGGGAAGGATCGTATCCATTGCTGAACTTGGAAGAGAGGGGGTTGGGATTGTGGCTGCGGTTGAAGTTGAGATTGAGGTTGAGTCATGATGAGGTTTCGTTTTCTTTTCTGTTATGTATCTTTTTCTCTACCAGGTCTTTCCACTACCTTTCCTGCCCTCACTTTTCTTTATCTTTCTCTTATATTTTATTTATAACAATTCATACATTATTTCACACGAAGTAGGCAGTTAGTTAAAGTATGCTCAATTGCACATCAATTGATCATCCAAGAAATTAACATCCAGCAACAAACATCTTAACTGCCATTTTTATTTGCACCCCCATCCTTCACGTTTGCTCATATATATTCTGACCAGAAATCCGGAAATTCTAAGCATCATTCAATTGGCTTGTTGAGTCATCACGGACATTCCTGCGCCGCGCCTTGCCGTCATTAACGCCAAATCCCCCCACAATCTTACCTGTTGGTGCTCGTTGACGAATCGGTATCTAGAGCTGCCTGCGCCTAGTGACTTAGATTAATAATTGACCGTCAGGGTAACTAACTAGTTATAGTTAACTAACTAGTTAATTAACGAAGGGTTTGCTAAGATTTATGATGCCTAGATTATCAAGGAGCGGAATAGGAACTTGGCTGCATGTCAAAGATGATGATATACTTCTCTTGCTGGAGTATTGAACTACAAGAATTAAATGTTTTAAAGTTCGACACGGCAGTTGGAAGAAACGGACTGAGAGGGAGCAAATGAAAAGTTTACATCTATCAGTGGGTCCCTGGCCCAATAAAAGTATTTATCGTCGTTCTAAGGCACCATACCGTCATTCTGGTTTTACGTTAAAGCATCTATGAATGGAATGAGCTTGGGAGATGGGACATTATTGTAGTGAGGGCATGAGACCCCAATTTATGAGACTGGCAGTCTGCTCAGAGATCTCCGAAAAGCAAAAGTAACCAAATCAAAATCAAAACTATACACTTATAAACAACAGAGAACCCAAGAACTCCAGCTAACCGTAATCCCGCCCATCCCTTACTTAGTTGACGCCAACAATCCCGCAACCTCATTCATCCAAAAGAACAGCCTGCACCTCCAGATCGGTCCACACCGCGTCGACCTCACCTCCCAGCTCAATAGGCCCAAAATACTCCTGTAAAACCTCACGCAGTGTCTGGTCCGAAAATTGCATGTGTTGACCAGAGATGGTCCTAAAATCGAGCTTCCCCTGCTCATCTAACTCCTTCAAGCCAATCCAATCCTCCTGATACAACACTCTACTCTTCAACGGCGTGACCGTGCCATCTGTTGTATTAACCTCAGAGAAATGCGCGGACTCCTTCGGCACCATTGTCGTATCGTTCTCAAACATGTACATTGCAAACTTATTCAACTTGGCCAAATTCTCCTTGTACGTTTTGTTCTTCACGGACCGTTCGTTGTTGATATCCGCCAGGAAGTTGCTGTAGGCTAGGTAGTCGTCCATTTCTTCTGGATTCCGGAAGTATTGCGCAGGCACGAGTCTTGACTGGACGAAGCTGGACCACCTGCCCAATCGCAACAACGCCTCTACACCCTTACATATCCAATCACCAGTGGTGTTGCAGGACTGAAAGCTGGAAATGCCGTTGTGCTGGCTCCCGAAAGTGACGAAGTTGCGGACTGGGGGCGAGTTACAGCGCTCGATGTATCCGCGGAGGAATTGGCCACCCTGTGAGAATCCCAGGGCATTGATGGCCGGTGCGGTGCTGAGGATCTTGTCTTTGCCTATACTTTCGCAGATCTCATGCAACTGAGTGGTGATGTTGCCAAAGAAGGTGGCTTCGCGGTCCGCCGTAGGCGAGTTGCCAAGGGTGACGATGTAGACGTAGGTGCCCGGAACGACATCTTCAGCAAGACTAGCTACGTGCTTGAGGCCATCGTTGCCATAATCATCGCCTAGGCCATGCCATATTACGAGAGGGAGGGGTCCTATTTCAGAGAGAATAGGCTGTTCTTGTTGGATTCGAGGGAGGGCGGAGGCGTGTAGGGCGAGGCTGAGGAGGGGTAGTATGAGTAATGATACGACGGAAAGCATCCCTTCCAGAGAATGCAGTATAAATATATATATATATATATATATATATCTGAATTTCTCGGAGTTTTAAGATCTAGGGACCGGTATGTTAGTATAGGGAATTGATGACGATGTTTGTTGAAGTTGGAGGTTGGATGTTTATTAGGAGTTTGGTTAAGTACGAAGTACGAAGTTTTGGAGGTTGTTTACGAAAGAGATGTGTAAGCAGCCGCCGAACGAAGCTGCCTGGGGAAGGGGCCAAGCGCCCGAAGTAGTTGATTTTCGCGGCAGGAGCTAGCCCCGATGGCAATGAAATACTGATGCAAAACTAAAGCATTCATTACTTGTAAAAGCCGATTCAAACGATCATATCGAGACAAAAGGTAGATATATGGAAGCTCCACCTTAAATTTCCCAAGTCACATGGAGATGTTGCATTAAGTGTGACTAACTAGTTAACTAGTCCAGCAATTCCTCGGCTCTTAGTTAATTAGTTACCTACCTTTTGCGCAAAGTCATGAACAAGGATTGAAGAAACAATTCAATGTAATGACATAACCTCACTATTTATATATGCCTATGTTAATTACTTCAACATCCCCAATATCGAATTATGATAGAATAGGCTTCCAGTTTTTAATATCTCTTCCATCTGGTCACTTCATCTAACGCCAGCACCAGTAATATGATTGCTCCTCATCCGAAGTCAATTAACCTTCTCAGAGACGACGGGCCATCTAGTTCGAGGAAGTGAGGCGCAGAGTTATCGGCAACGTCTAAGCCTAATGTATCCTGCTAGTCGTGCTTTTGGAAACTGCTATTGGCTACCTGCAAACTCTCAGTTTCTTCCCTTTATTCGTTGCTCCTCAGATTCTCAGATTCTCATTATCATCGACCACTTCTTGAGAAGCCAGTGGTCCATTAATGATATCACCATATTCAGAACAATTGCTCTGATGTGAAAAACGGTTCCAAGTGATCCCTACCACCACGTCTTGGCAAGAAACTTCACATCCAGACGAATCTGATTCTATCCCTTGATCATTCGAATTTGCAGAGTCGAGGACGAACATCGAGTGCGTGGCTTCTATATGAGAGAGTGTTTCGTTGCAAGATTCATTGGGCTCAGACAGACTCCTTATATAGGCAGGACCATCGGCAATAGCTCGCTCGCTGGCCTCGACGCGTGCTGGGGACGGAAGTTTGGAGTAACCGCTGGTCTGTTGGCTATTACCCAAGACCGATCCAAATATGAATCGTTTCCATAAATAATCATCTGCGTAGGTGTCCCTTGCTGCATTAAGGTCACGATTTCCTTGAGGCTTTACAGCGGGAGCTTCCGGTTCAGCGGAATTTTTTGAGCCCAATCTTGTCGGGGGTGTTGAAGAACATTGATAGTGGCCCGTAATACCATGTTTATCCTTGGGGGAGCTGCCACGCTCTGTGCCCTCACGTCGATTAGGTGACGAAAGAAAATCCTGTGATCCCAAGCTGGCAGGCGTACTCTTCTCCCTCGTTGAGTGGTTGAGCACAAAGCTTGGGTCTCTTCTGATACGCAACTCTGACTGGTCGTCAAAGGAATCGGAATCAGAAACAGCAGATGTATTAGAGCTGCTGTAGGGATTTGGAACGTGGTATCTTAGGCTGTCATCTGGGAACCTTTCAGGATGCATGCAGTATTGCATTTGCAACTCTGGAGAGGGGAGTCGAGGGTGGTTTGCTGGCACCGCAGTTTGATTCCGCGGTGGATTCGGGTTTTTCGGGGCATTTGGGGATCTAACCCGGGTACTCCTGTGCTTTCGAGTGTCCACAGCTTCCGTGTTATTGAGGCTACCCAATTGTCCTACTGACGAAGATGACTGATCGACGTCTAGCTGATTAAAAGTGCTTGAATGACTTTGGATATCCGACATGGGCGGACTGCTGTACTGTCCTTGGTGGAGGGTCGAACCCCTATCGCCATTAGATGAGGTAGCCTGGGGGCGATGCTGTTTGTTATTCCTCAATTCCGTTTCTATTGGCGTACTGATATAGATTTCCTCGTTATCGAGAAGCATTGATTCTGACGGATCTTGGCTTTGAGAGTGCGAGTCGCTTTTAAGGACAGACCCATAATTGGATAGGTGGCCAATAAAGATATCCTCTCTAGTGTGACAATGCACCGCCGCCGAGCTACATCGTCGGCAATCGCTAGGGCCAGCCGGAAGGGGGGGCCTTAGACTGGAAGGATTATGCTTTTGGTGATCCAGAAACATATGACGCCTAGATGTCTCAAACATGATCGGGAGTTCAACATCTACGCTTCCTCTTCGGTATGGCTCATATGAAACGCCGTTTGTAGGCGAGCTTCTCTCAGGATAAAGTTTCTGTGAGTCGAGCCCCTTTGCTCTCAACATCTCCATTTCCAGTCCCAACTTTAGTTGTGAAATGTTTTTACCGTTGATCCCTAGATTGTAAGTTGAAGTTGGTATACCATGAGTATTAGCATGGATAACGTCGCTGTTTGAATTGGGTCTGTCCGAGAAGTCCATGTCCAGGCCGTTGCAGTCCAGACAATTGCTAGGAGAGTCGAGCATCGTTCCTGCTTCAATGTCCGCATCCGACTCTGCGTCTTGGTTTAGTATATGATCATCCATTTCCTGCTGGACGCGATGGCGTCTTTTTGCCAAGTTTTCAACATGTCTGTTGCTCTTGAGGAACCGGCTTATTCTGAGTGGTCGGGCAATGGATAAATTAACCCAATCCTTTCTTTTTAGCAGCTTTTGTCGAAGGTCTTCAAAACTTTGTGCCTCTGGAGTTTCAGCCTGGAGCTTCCTGTGCTGCTGTAGCGAGAAAGGGTCGTTTAATTGTGGATATTGAGCTGGAGCATTCAAGCTAGAATTTTGGAGCCTGCTGGTTTGCGAGCCATGGCTCTGATCGAGGGATGGATTTGATGGAGAAAATATTGTCTCGTTTGAATGGTGATGGTGCGAAGACACGTTTTTGCCCTTACATATAAGGTGTCGACTTTCGTGTGCTTTATAACGGTTGAATCTTTCTCTCATTTGTTGCGGGGATACCCTCCCATGCAGGTGCCGTGATAGCAACGATCCAGCAGGGGGTGTAGATGGTCCATTGCTCAGTCTTTTCTGGGCCTTCAGTCTGGCTTTTGCAAAATATTGCTTCTGAATAGTCTTTAGAAATTTATGGCTTTTGTGGGAGTGCCGTTGCAGGCGGCCTCCCGTCCAGTTCATTACACCAGTATCCCACAAATATTCAAGCTCAAATATAAATTCCTCCGTATGAGAAGTGGCCAGAACTGAGACTATTTCACAGAACAACAACGTTTCGACAATATTTATATTCCTCAACAGACACAGCTTCGAAGGCAAGCTTCGTTTCCAGCCAACAGAGTGTTGGACGACGTTGCAGCAAGCTGAGGAAGATTAGAGATGGATGACGATGAGCCTGTTAACAGGCAGAGGTTGGAATAAGGTTTGGTCCTCTGTCCGGCAGCCGCAGAGGAGCCCTGGAACTGTAGTTACCCAACGTCCCTTGTGGGAAATCAGCCGGGAATCCTCGGCGACTCTGGCTATGGATATGTGCAAGCTATGGGCATCCTAAAGTACACATATACAGATGAATTCCACATTTCGCACCGTAGATGAGAGGTTGTTGAGATGGAAGAAGAGAGAGAAAGAAGGAGACACGGGGAGAACACTTTTTGAAACTGGATGTGATAACAAGTTTGCTTTCAAAAGTTGTTTTCTCCCATCCACCTTTGGGCAGTTACCCAGCGATTTGTTTCAAAAGTTGGCTAGAATGGGATTGTTTTAATCTGCGTAAAGCTTTCATTTATTAAAAGCTTAGACTGAAGACATCAAATGGTACGAGTATTAAGAGCGCAGAAGATCATAAGATGCCAACACAAAAAGAAAGCAAATAAGATCTAAACATTACCAGAATCCGAAGACAAGAGAGCAAAGGCCTCGTAAATGGAAATTCCATGGCAAGCAGTTGAGAAACGTAAAGAGTGTTAATAGGAATTCGACGATGTATAGGAAAATAATCACAGGTTTCAAGCCTTGAAGTGTGTGGTTTGCCGGGTCCGATTTGACCCAAGGCCTTTCTGAGGTCATAGACATGAATCAGAACTTTTCAATAATTTATTGGCTGATCCCATGCCCCGAACAGAGAGCACAAGCAGGTCCCCCAAAGAAGGGATGAAATACACATTGCTAATGAGAAAAAGAGTCTACCTTCGCAACGTAACCTCGAAACAGCCTAAATGTGGGGCACTATATTTTAAGCTTAACTTTATAATTGGTCCCTGCCAGCTTCGATTGACTAAATCGCAACTAAGCTTTCGTGCCATCGATCGAATTCTACGGGAACCAAGAACGCTTAGTTAGTTCTCGGATAAGATCTTAAGGCAAAAAGTAATGCCTTGAGGTTGCAAGAGGATTTCAGAATCGTGAAACCGAGTCTCCCAATGAAGTGATGATCCTAGATCCTCTCTCCGTTTCGTATTGGGAACAATATGTCCGCCTGGACCAGCGAAGAGAAATTGGAAAACAATAAAATGTCGTCATGAATTGATTCCGCAGTTTATATTCAAAATGGAACGAGCTTCCAGATAAGAGGTAGCGACGCTGAAATCCAAGGGTCGATGGTGTAAAGGTTGCATTTAATAGGGTCTAAAGCCTTTGCCCACCTTATTCTGGGAACTTTAAAATCTCCTGCCGGTGGACTTCCATTCAAACGACCGCCAGGCTACAAGGAAGCATATTTTGCCTCTTCTAAGTATACTAACCTAATTATTGTGCAGTGGTTAATAGGATATCTACGATTTGCGGCAAAAGCTTCGGCGTCACGAACCAACTCAAAAAGGCACCGCAATTTGAGATTGATAGTTCAGTCTATGGAGAGATTGGCAGGAGGGTATGTAATGCGTCCTCCAGAGACAACGAGGAGACAAGGTTAGTAAAGTCTTATGACCATCCCCTTTCTATGGCGATATCAAGAAACTTCAAAAAACATCGATACGAGAAACCGTCCAAAACACCGACACAGGGAGATCAGTTTTTTGTCTAGAGGCTGCATTCCGTCAACTGCTTGGTAGTTTTCCCCACACTTCACGATGATCAGTTAGACTAATTCCTCCCAGTATACCGATATTCCCGGCTGATATGCCCACAGCAGCCCCCATCAAAAGCATGGATATGATGTCATGGTTCTCTTTGTTGAACTCAGTCGTCTCCGTCTTTAACCAAAAATCGCATAGCCAAAGGAGGCTTATCACATGAAATAAAAATTTCCCAAAGAATACCGTACTGATATGGGTCGTCATTTGCTGACCCCACGTTCGCATCTGAGGGGAAGAGTCAGTCATCCAATGCCCAATTTGATGCAAGGCAAGATCGCAGAAAATTTGACGCAGTCAAGGATTGGGCTACAGGGCACAAAGACAAAATCGAAATAACCTAGAAGCATTGAACATTCTCGTTTATGTGTGGGATGTAGAGGGCTCGGACTGTCCTTTTGAGTTAACTATTGAACTCCGTAGACCCCATAATTTTGGGCGGAGTTGGCTGGCCAGCAGCTAACTGCTACATGAGACGATAACCACAATACCGCTTTCTTTGCCGTCAAATAAAAAAACAACACTGTTTATGATCGATTTCCCAGGTCCATGTTAACCGCCAGTTTATCGGCATGTTGAGGTTGGGTCGTTTCGGTCAGTGATAATTTACGATCCTCACGGAAGTCAATTTAATCCGAAGAAAGCGGAAACGCTAGTCAACTCGCTTAATTTTCCAGAACCGGATTCTTTCAAGAATAAAATCGGTCTCCTTCAATTTCTTCAACTTTTTCCATCCAACACACATTTGACTACGCAAAAGTTGATAATGATGATTGGACAAAGTTGGAGGTTGCTCATCATGAATCTGCTACCGTTCCGCTGAATGGGGGATATGATATGGGGACCCCGACACAGTATGCAGCTTAGGATGATGGTGCCTTCGTCCCAACGATGGATTTCCCTACGAATCCGTCACTCACATACGTTGCCTGCATATTGAGGCTGTAAGGCATGTATCCTTGATGATTTTTTATTTCCTGAAATACAAGCACCTATCTTTATGATGATTCCCAAGTTTTAAGCATAGTTCAACTGAAGGTCTCCGGATATTGAACGACAAACCTTACCATCTTTCATCCTTTCTGAACTCTCAATTATTCATTTTCTGCATGATTTTTTTTTTTTTCATCACCAATCTCCTTCCATGGCTGACTTCGTGGTCAAGCAGTGCTCTTTGGCTGGTCATTCTAGATTTGATGCAAAGATGCACTACTGCACTGCTGCCCAACCCTCCCGCGTGAAACCAGCCAGTGCTGAATGACCTCACAGCAGGCGAAAGAGGTTTGCTGACCCATCTTCGTTCGTCATATCGGCTTCCAATCGGAAGATGTCTTTGAACCACTTCTCCAGGCGTAAGAATTGAGGTTAAATGGACAGAACAATACAATTTTATTTTATCAGTCTATTTTTTAATTTCTATCCTTAATTATATTTTTGGAATAGTAAGGACGTTCTTCCGTAGCTTAATTTGGATCCCGCTCATCCATCCTTCATTGTCTTGTGCTTGGACTTCAAGATGCACTTACATCCCTTGTTTTGCTGTAAGATTCGCCAGCCTGAGGGTTCCGGCATACCTATCAACTCAGCAGAACAGCTCAGCGATGTGTGATTTGTAAATGCACACTTGCAGAACGAACTCAAGGGCAACGCACCTTAGGTCAAATCGGATTCCGCGATTGTGGGATCGTTCACCGCTATATTGATTGCCAATATGACCCGCCATGTTCACTGCTAATATCGCACGAGATTCTGCAACAGATGTGCGGCGCGTCCAATGCCACGTCAGTCCTAGTGGACTGCGATAGGTGAACAAAGGCCCAGAGCAGACATCATCTCGCGCCGGAACTATGCTGGTGCAGCCGCCGCTAAAATGTTCAGCAAACAACAGCCAGTCATTTCCAGTCGCTCGAGCAAGTCGGGCAAACTTGGCGAGGTATCATGCATGGTATGAGCTGGCTGTTCCATTGCCCCGCGTCCGTATTCCACAGTTCTCACACTGCCCGCAAGGGTTCTGCAGTGCAAGGCTAGACTGTTAAGCTGGTTCAACCCACCAAGCAGACGTGTTAAAGCCAGATCAAATCCCCTTTCGCTCCCGTTTTGACCTGCTTCTGAATATATTTTTTCTGCTCTTTCATCTTGCATACAATTTCTCTTCCTATCCAAACAGCTTCTGCCTAACTGATCTACTTCGCTTCCAGCCTTCCTCTACTGGCTTGATGCTCCTTTTAATGCTCCATTTCTTAACCCTCTTCCACTCCAACGTCACTGCTTCTTGCCGTTCGTCTCGGTGCAAATTCCAGAACCTTGATAGTGCATTATTTCATATCTTTTTCTCCTGCTACTTGGACGCCATTTTCAGAGAAAACACATCTGGATACATTTCCTGGAATTCAATCCACATAGGACAAGGACTCTTTTTATAAATTTTTTCTTTTTTGTTTAAAATTGATCCAACTTATCGACTCGTGCTTGAGGAACAGTTATAATTCAGAGACACCAGCGTCTATCCATCCGAACTCATCAGGTAGTCCCCATTATTTTTCCTTAATGTGCCCCTTAGTTTCCTTGCTCTCTCTGGTCCTGTATCCAAAATATTGTTTTCCTTGCCGTTTTTTTTTTCTTCTCTTCCTCTATGGGAGGCCACATCCATGCGGACGTTCTTGAGAAACCTGGAGATTTTTGCCCGTTGCTCTTTGAGTGCCTTTGTTCTGGATATCTTACTGGAGAAATATTCTGGTGCCTTTTGAGGCCCGAAACCTTCATGTATCCCGGCGATAGCCATCGCTGGGGGTGTATGTTGGTACACCTAAGGGTGCATAATGCTGCATTCCTTATGTGGAGTCATGATGAACCTTCCCATTGGCAGATACCCTCTTATTTTGAAATATAACGCGTCTGCAGCTGTCAGCTTGCCGGTAAATTTCGAAAGATTTATGCCATAGACTGTCAGCCACGTGTGTGTTTCGAGAAGAGAAGCAAACTTTTATTCAATGCCGAACATCCAGGCTTGGTTAGTAGGTATAATGAATCATCTGGCCTGAGGTTAACCTTCCAGTTCCCTAACCGCTATGTCTGACACTGTCTCCTTGTCTACTGGTTCTCAAATGTTATGCCACCCGGTGTCTTCCTGGATTTCTCTTTGCCTGGTGCTACTGCTCGCAGCTCACCGTCGCTCGCGGATGTGCTTGCACCTGGAATCAAGAGCAACATAATGAACCAGATTACTTTCCCAACAAATTTGCCTGGACTGTTAAGCCATGGATGCAGGATGTCCGCTGTAATGAACATTGAAGCTATCTACTTGGGAATCAGTCCAAAAATACTTCCATGATGCTCCTTATTCCTGGTGTTTTCATATGTCTTTTTTTTTCTCTCTCTCTGTGCGTAAATAGTTTTGTTTTTTTGTCCTAGGATTTTTATAAAATGACAACTTCCATTCCGGATTACCCTGGCCACAACAAGAGGACCCGATTACCAAGTATACGCTCTTGATCTTACCACAGGCAGCAAATCCAATCATCATGTCGTCGGATATTCTTGGAGCTGGTAAAAAATCATACCAATATGTGACTGGTGGGTTTAGGTTATTCAAGAATATAATCTCGTGAACTTTACGCTAACAACTTCTCAGGCCACTCTCGATCTTGGCTCTTGGATTGCGACCTTTTCTTTCGTTTTTCAACTTTTCTTTGGCGTTCTCTCTCATTAACGTGGAGTTTCAGGGATTTGAAATGACGGAAATACTGACTTGTGTGTGTTGTAGTTCTTGAGACCTAGAGCTTGTCATGTCAACAAAAACAATGACCAACCCTCCAAGGGTTTCGATGCCAAAAGGATCTTCTCTCAAAATGAAGGCTCAATATCTTCCAAAACAATCCACAGGACAAGGTTGCTCCCAGTCAACCTCTGCTATCACCCAGGATAATGACTTCCATTCCCAGGATGCATTTTCTTTCTCTCCATTCTGTGCTTCCAACAATCTGCCTGATGTCAACCAATGGACATATATGAGCTCTAGTTCTAGCACTACGAGCGATACCACAGATGAATCGTTTGAAACTGGCTCAATGTCAGTAACAGAACCAGACATCTCCAATTCCCAGGGTTTTCCATTTTCTTCCTTTCGTCATCCTGTGATGTCAGGTCATGTCAGCTCTTTGGACCACCACACTGCCAGTTATTCCTCACTTTCAGATATCCATAATATGCAAGATACGACAGAATCAGGAAACAGTCCACAATTGACATTTAGCAGTCTGCAAGGATACCAGTCCGTCTTTGTTTTGCCATTTGAGAATGATGTATCTCAGCCAAATACCCATGGCTGTAACCAGGAAGACTCGAAGCAGCTGCGACTTGGATCCGTTGAAATGGAAGATACCGAAATGTTTACTGGTGCACGACCATACGACCAGTTGCCAATAGATTCAGATACTTTTTCTGTGGGATCTACGAGCCAAGTGTCAGATCTTTTCGGTCACGCTCCTATTACCCCACCTTTGACCGATGGAAGCAATGATACCTCTGTGTCCTCAACATGTTCACAGACAAGCTATCCTCCATTTCCCGGACAAGAAGAGGATGGCATGTTTGTCGATATGTCAAGTTCCGTTTCTCCTAAAAGTTTCAATCTTGGAGACCCTCTCTACCGTTTCACACCCCCCAGCAAACAGGACCCGAACAGGTAAGACAAACCATTTGCGTTCTTGTCAAATCACCAAAATTTATATCAGAACCTTGTGAGGCTAACTGACCACTCTACTTAGAACCATTAGGGCTTCAAAGCAAAGCCAACGACCGCTGCTATCCGCTGCAGGTTCCCGGCCAAGGAAGACGGAACAAATTTTGTTTTCTCTCTCCATGGGACAAAATCAAAGATATAATGACGGCCAGGATGCCAGGGGCCCTAGGGATCACCCGTTTTATTCCATGTCAACACAAGCTGATGGAAAATACCACTGCCCTTTTGAAAATGATGAGAAGCCCTGCACTCATCCACCAACCACCCAAAAATGCGCTTATCAGTAAATTCCCCCCACATTTCCTTTGCTCGAGAACTCATCACTAATATGTTTCTCTCAGTAAATACGTTGATTCTCACCTGAAGCCATACCGGTGTAAAGTTAACCAATGTGTGGATGCCCATTTCTCCTCAAATGCTTGCCTCTTCCGCCATGAACGGGAAGCACACGGAATGCATGGCCATGGAGAGAATCCCCATCTCTGCCGCTTCGCAACCTGCGAGCGCTCTGTTCCCGGAAACGGATTCCCCCGCCGCTGGAATCTCCATGATCACATGAAGCGAGTGCATGATTATACTTCATCTGAGAGGGCTAATTCAACAGAAGAGGCCCCAGTGGTTGGCCAACCATCCAAGAAGAAGGATTCTGCAGCCCGCAAAAGAAAAGGAGCCAAAGCCACGACCATGAAGAAAGTTCGATCCACTCCGTCACAACCAACGGCTTCCGCAAAGGCAGCGCAAACACAGGCTCAACAGGGACAGCAACTCCAAAATGCCGAGCGAAACTACTACAACTGCCTTCTGCGGCTACGAGAGGATTTGAACAACATCAACCCCCAGAACCCGAGTCTGCATGACAAGGCAAATGCCAGTTTGCAGGAGCTCCACACTCTTGCCCTTAATTACCGCTGCATTCGCGCTAGCCAAGCTGCGACTGAGCGATCATCGGGATACTCTCGATGAGAAGATAGAAAAGTTGACACTGACAGGCTTCTCTCTATTCCATATGACGCATTTCAGTTTTCCTTAACCGTGTCTCCGGATTTTTGGAACTGCTCTTCTACCTTGTTGTTTATTGTTGATTTGCTTTCGCCTTATGACAGTACTTGATATAGAAGGATTGGTCGGTCGCCATTACATGAGAGTTTATTTCCCGGGATAAAGAGTATAGACATGTCTGTTAGCGTGAGATACCCTCCAAGGCCTTTCTTTAGATGAGTCCAATCTTCTACAACTTTACTCTCGACATGGATCTTCTAGCTCCTCATGCGCTTCCTCCCGACAAGAAACCGCAAGTGGGGCCGTAACGCCTATGGATTGGAACTAGCCTTTTCATTTTGCGATGATTTGGGGTGGATACCTGCATATTCGCTTTTCACTTTTTGACTCTTGCTTTTCACATGTTGCTTTATCTGTATGTTTTGTCTCTCGGAAGTTCTCTTCGTTTGTTGATTTTATTCGTGATATTTGTTTGATATATTTGTTGCCCTACACACACATACACACAGATATATATATATATATATATATATATATATATATACAACAGTCCCTTGAACATCGGGTTCTGTTATGACACACTGGGTTTGGATTTGTTTGTATTTACTATTTAGATATATTCTCTCTGCGTGCCGGGCCTCTTAGAACATCGGGCGAGCCATTCGAACTGGCCAAGGAACAACAACTTTCAATGGACGATTTTACTTTTTATGTGGCTTGAATGGGGATCTATGTGGCCTCTGTTGTATGTTTTCCTTTACTCTTCCTTTTTAGCTCTCTTTTGGGTTGTCTGTGTTATTTATCCTTTCCCCTTCCCTGCCCCCCTTTTCTTGTCTACGACGATTATGACGAATGACTTATAACGGCCAGTCGATCCTCTTTTACGGCACAGAACTGAAGAACCAAGACAGATATAAAGTTTTGTTTCTCCGTTGTTGCTCTCTTGTGGTTACTATAACATAAAAAAACACAAATGGAAGTTTCTTTTCCCTTTTAGACCGGTGATACTTCATATAAATCCGTTCGACTGGTCATTTCCTTTGTGACCTATTATCTACGGACTTTTATGTCGAAGCTCTGTAAATAGATAGTTAATAGTTATAATGTTACGACTGTTACCAAAACCCACACCCATCTGCATCTCGATCCCGAGGTATCTGAGGTGGGAGCAGGACCCTCTCCCCGTAACTCGCCCGGGGCAATGGCGTAGTTGGGAGCGCGTTTGACTGAAGTATAAAAACTTCACCACGACAGGATTCGGCCCAGCCAATTCCAGTTAGTAATCAGAAGGTCACCGGTTCGATCCCGGTTTGCCCCATATTTCGAAATCTCGAAATCCCGAAATCCCAATTTCGGTCTATAAAGTCTTAATTTTGACTTCTTTTTTTCCTTTTTCCTTGTTCAACCAATTTTTTATTTTTTTATTTTTTATTTTTTTTTTTTTTAATACTGGCATTGTTTATCGTACCACATGTTTTCGAACGTGTTACCCGTCATAGTATCCGTCTTGTGTATCACCTGACGAATGGTCTTCGCGATCCTTATATGAAGTAATTTACATCTATCCCCAGTGCGTGCGTGCTGCGGAGTGATAGAGCTGGGTTTTTAGAACTTTTCGACTCCAGGACCCTGCTGCTCCTGGCAGTTGAGTTGGCAGCCTTTTTTGCATCTATTCATTTGTTCTTGTTGGAGGCAAATAGGAGGCAGCTCGTACAAGAAGCCGACGAGGTTAACTACTGACGTGATTTGTGTCTTTTTTTTCTTCTGTTTTAACGTACGTCGATGTGCTCTTCCTTGCTTGTCCTTGGGGAAAAGCCAGTCGTGATACTTGCGAATAAACACATGCTGCAAATCGAGCTTCACCGTGAGGTGCTTTTGGCGCCAGGTTGACCTTCTCACCCACACATATAGCCTCTGATAATGGCTTCCTCCAGGCTTTCCGATGGAGTCTAAGGACTTGGTTACAGTTGCATCTGGCTCGATTAGGGCTGCTGGCCATCCTTGATGTTGCCTGCCAGGTTTTGGTGTCTTTCTGCAATACTGCAAATTCTAAGCAGGAGGATATTCTCTTGCTGTGAATAACAGCTCTAAATGCTATTCTGATCTCAAGAACGTGGTGAGCTATTCTGTTTAAAACGTCAAGTTCCCCACTTGTACCCCTCCAAGTCAAAAGGGTGCAGGTCTTACTGGCAACATGAGATGCATTGAGAATGCATTTTTGCCGAAATGTCAGCTCCCCGTGGTGTTTCTGCCGAATGGTTCGAAAAGTGGTTCAGCAACGCTGCTCCTCCCAGACGTTTTGACCCATCTAGCGATACGACGGGCTGGTATTGAGAAAAATATCCATACCCGGGAGACGCCGAAAAGGGCATTTGGAACCCAAGCTCAAACCATGAAGGAAACAAAAAGCGCCCGAGGGCAAAAGCATATCAGGCCAGAAAAATAGGGGAAATTTTCGGATGCGTGCCCATTGGCGACAGATCCACACGAATGACAGACAGACATAGTGGTATTTTCACACTCGCTCCACCGGTCCCCATTTCTCAAACATTTGTCTCGTTTTTTTTTTTTTTTTTTTCGGGGGGGGGGGGGGTCCGCCGCGCAAACACTACACAAAGGGGGGCGGAAGAAGGGACGGAACTGCTGGGAAATTTCTCATGTATGGGGGCAAGGCCGGGGATCGAGCCGGTGACCTCCCGAGTAAACTCGGTGTTGCAAGTGATTCTTGCTGTACATGTTGTAAATGAAGTTGAAACTTCAGTCAAACAACGGGCTGCCAACTACGCCCACTGCCCACTGCCCCCCTTGCTGCTTGGTGATGTCGATCGCTCATTAGGCCGCTCAAGATGGGTGACAAGGCGGATTGATATTGAAAAAAAAAAAAAAAAAAAAAAGGAGAGGTATTCCGCCATTAGCGGTGAATGTTGTGTGCAAGGGTACGGAGGGGCAGATGCTCCAACTCATGAGAATCGCAGGAATGTTATCACGGCATTGTAAGGGCCTTTGCAGTGTCGAATTTAGCTACATACATACATACATACATTCGATTGCTATATCAAACTGGTCCGTCCAGTGTTATCTGTTCCCACCCTTATACAGCATGATCAGATATGTAGATGTATATAGGTAGTAGGTGTAATCTATCACAATCCAATTCTAAAACCTCGTTTTATCATTCGTCGCATATCCCTGAGTATCCAGAAAGAAAGAAAAGAAAAAGAATAAAAGTAGAAATAAATAAATAAACAAACAATCTCAACCCACCACCCCCTTGAACTCCGCGTTCAAAAACCTCACAAAAGCATCCCCCGCCTGATCCACGCCTAACCCCTTCTGACCCCTAGCATGCCCCTGGCTCAGATACGCCCGGTTCATCCCAACCCACTGTCTCCGCAGCCGCTGCAAGCGAGGGAGCGCAAGCAGGCCCCCCGCGCCAGCCAGTTCGTCCGTTGGCGTCGACGCAAGCGCCGTGGCTGGGATAAACACCTTCGCTTCAGCTCCTGGGACGGAGATGGATATTCCGGAGCCAAGCGAGGGAGAGGTGTCGTTGTCCGTGGAGACCTTGGTTGCAGTGGCTTCGGCGGCAGAAGGGTTTTCCAGCGAGAAGGTACGGAGGGCGGATATTATTTCCGACGTGCGCTTTTCGAGAGCATGGAGGGCGCTGGGGTCAGCGGTGGCTGGTTGGATGGTTGCTTGGTGGGGGACTATTTCTGGGCGTGGGAGGGATGCACGGGTGCTGGTCCCTGTTGTTGTTGTTGTTGTTGTCGTCGTCGTCGTTGAGGAGATCTTCTTGGAGGGTTGGGAAGAGGTTGTGCTGGATGTGAAGAGGGTAGCGTTGTTGTCGGTTGCGGATTGTGGTTTGGGAATGGGTATTCCTGTTAATGCCGTCCATATGTCTGCTGCGGGGGGTGTCGGGTCACTCCACGGTACGGTGAACAGTGGCTTGTCCCAGCGGCTATGAGTCGAAGGCTCTTCGTAGCGGAATATGAGGTTTTGGAGAAGTTCGGGGGCGTATGGTTCCTCATCGTCATTTGGGATTTCGCTCTCCGTCTCTGCTCGAGAGTTGTTGCTTGTGTCTTCTCTCCTTTTCCCGACCTCTCCCTCCCCACCCTTTTCCTTTCGTTCCCGCTTCCGTATGCGAGCTTCGTTATTCGCGATGCACTGCTCAATCGGTGTTCCAACATGAACCTTAAGTATCAAACGGTATGATCAGAAAGGATTATCCAGCTATCATATACCTGACACAAACACCATCTCACCTGTCGCAGTAGGCAATCAATGCGACCGGATATCAAAGGTGTACATACCACACAACATGTCGTCCCCGCGGCCTTACTCTCGCACCAGAGCTGGTACCTCCATCCCTTAATATAATTCAGACCGTCCACGATCACGAACGTATCCTTGCCCAGCGCTCTCTTGACCCGCCCATATACCACCGCTCGAGCTTCCTTTTCTGACCTCGCAGCATCATATACCATTCGCGGATGCGACGCATCATGTGAGTTGACAGTGTGAAATTTATATCGGCCTTTGGAGGTGGTTGTGTCGGTAAGGGAGTCTTGGATCGACGAGAGGAGGGTGGAGATTTGGTTGGCGCGGTACGTGAGGCCGGAGCAAGGATACCCGGTGAGGATTATAAGCTAGATGGGATTCTTAGAGTACATAATGGATATTTCCATGGGAGATGGGCGTGGACTTACTGGCATTGTGACGTCTTTGATGAGTTCTTGAAAGTGGGTTTAAATCGAGTGGTGGTGGCTTTGCTGGTTGAGTAAGTTTATTTTTTGGGCTGGGCAGTTGAATATATTTAAAACATTGTGCCGCTCCCCACGGGGGTTAACTTATAAATCTATTGACTACAACGTCAGAACTAAATAACAGAACTCAATTATGGTATCAAAACGACACCTGATTTGACTATGAGACTTGGCAATAAAGTTAATGAGAGTGATAATACGGATGGCCTCAACAACACACGAGCTGATACCTTGCGAAAGAGGATTGATTGCCTTGGTTGACTACGTAGACGAACAAATGTCTGTAACTCTATATAAAACCACATAGATCTTAAGTGTGCGGTGTCGTTGATTGATTGACCAGCTCTTCCTCCTTCCATCTCAACTCATATCCAAACACTGTGCGCCGGAGTCTCTCATCCTACCATATATGATAAACATCAGCATAATTTTCTCCCCTCGGTCTCCAGAGACCAACAGGCAACACCCCGCAACTTACCCCAGGATCATCCTCAAACATAGCCTTCTCCGTCAGTTTCTCAAACACTTTCGTCACCACAAAGCCATTCTCCTCTGCGCGGGGGAAGAAGGCAACAATCTTCTCCAACAACCATGGCTGATACGGAGTGAACACGACAAAAGCCAATGCATGCCGCGCCCTCTTCAACGTCTGCTTTACGCTCTCGATCAACTCCCTATGCTGCGGGTGATTGTATATAACATCTGCAAGAATCAATAGGTCAAACCCGCGACCGGCGGCGCGGGGACCAGAATCGGAGTCCGCAGGGAGATGTCGCAAAACCGTCTCCGGATCGGCACCCCATTTAAACCCTTCAACATGTAGCGGGGATGCCTTTCCTTCTCGTAGCGACAACAGCGACTCGCAAGCCTTCGCATTTATGCGCATGTTCTCGACAAGGTCGCAATCAGGGTAATCGGTCACGACGGCGGTGCGGGCACCCAGGATCGCGCAGACAAGGCTGGGCAGGCCGGCGCCAGCGCCTAATTCCAGGATATCTCTCCCTTCGACCCAGTCACGCGCTTTGCTCTCGAGGTAATATGCGCTTGTTTTTCCTGCATTCCAGAGGAGGAATCCCTCCATTGGGAATCGGTTAGTTGGGGAAGCGTCATTGGTTGCACTGGAAACGGTTTTCAGATCTGTTGAAGCGAGGGTTCAGGGACATCCCTACCCAGAGTGGATGGGATCCTACGAGCCGTAGTTTGATAGTTTGACCGGAGCGCATGGTGTATTCTTCGAAGGTTGCCTCTTTGGGGGGTGGGAGGAAGCCCTCTGGTTCCTGGAAGATGTCGCCAAATTCAGCATCGGCATCGGCATCGGCATCTGCATCTGTATTTGAATTCATGTCCACAGAAATTTTTTAAATAACCATATTGAAACGATGTGTGTCCAAAGAGAAAAAGTGGTACACAAGTAAACTAATATATGAAGAATTAACTGTCCATTTATCCCAAGAAATGTTTTAGTATTTGATGTTTATCTTTTTTGCGGCACACAAAAATAACTAGCCAGATGATAATAACAAGTTAAGAAAAGATGATTAGGCGCCACGGGATGCTCGGACTATAGTTGATCCAGCCACTCCACTGATCCAAAGCGCGCGGTGGTGATGATTTAACAAAACGAGGGCAACGAAGCAGACGAGAGGAACCGTAATGCTGTTATATAGACAGAAACCAATTATTGCCAGACTCCCTTGCGATCCCGCTTTAGGCCTTTCCCCCAGCCTTTTGCTCTCCAAAAAGATTTAACTACCTCTCTATTGTTATCCTTCCGAGAATTTAGACGTTGCGCGCACACGCGTGTGTTGACTGTTTAGAGAGAAACACTCTCCAAGTCTCGCGCAATCACCGCCATCTGAGCCCTCTTTGCTGCCTCTGCAACTAGATTGAAGTCTCTCAGGAACGCAGCCGTTCCCTGTCCACAGCCGCTGCTATTATTATTATTATTATTATTATTATTATTCTTATTCTTATTCTTATTCTTATTCTTAGTGTTATGTGACATACGTCCAGGAGCCGGTTGGTGCACCAGGGATGCGGGATGTTGCGGGGAGGTCACATGTGCATGTCCTGTCTGGCTGACGTGGTAGAAAGAGGCGGAAGCTTGGGGATAGCCTACGGAGGGTTGCACTCCAGCGCTCTCATCGCTCTGGTAAGGCGTGGAATGTTGTTGCTGGGAATCCATCGCAAGGGGAAGAAGTGGTGGAATCGATTGGGTGGAATCGAGCTGGTTGGCGTTGGTGTAGGTGTAGGTGTTGGTGTTGGTGTTGGTGTTGGTGTTGGTGTTGGTGTTGGTGTTGGTGTTTGGTGTTTGGTGTTTGGTGTTTGGTGCTGAAGATGGGGATGGGGATTGGTGAAAGTGGTTGAG